CCAAAAAAAAGAAAATCAGAGGAAGCGAACAGGGCGCACCTCAAGGTTTTCGGTGATGGTGTTGATAGTTGATAGGATGAGATAAAGTTCAGATATTGACACTTCAACTTTAAATTTTTTATGTCAAAAATGTGGACAAATTACTTGCTCTTCATGTAACCTTTACTTCACCGAGAAATGTTTTTTTTTGCTGCGTTGTTGGAAAAATGGGGGTGGGGTAAGGCGAGCTGGAGGGTAGGGGGTACTCACAAGTTGGGGAGTGGCAGCGAACAGATGTTCTGGTCATCAGCCAGGGTATCGCATTTAACATGAGGGGTGGGGTATCGGAAATACGGGTCCTTGCAATCCTGTTATAGAAAGAACCCCCTCAATTCATCAGGTAAGTACCGGTGAATTATAATGATACATCGAATCAGGGGGTGCATCCTGAAGGGTACGGCCACACTGGTTACACTGGAACTCAACTGGGGGTAGGAGGTAGAGAGAAGTGCAAGGGGTGGGGATCCTGCGATAAGGCTGCACGAATGAATGAAGGGATGGGGGATATTCCAGGGTGGGTGGGGGGTAGTATCACCCTACCCGCATAACAATGCACCCCCCGGAACAAGGAGAACCTTCAGATTGAGGTGGTTGGATACACAGGGTGGGGGTGGTTTTGCCCTTGTAGGTAGTCAATTTTGGAGAGAGCTGCAAAACAAGTGCCTTGCAGGCAGGGATTCAAAAAATGCGAGGGTGGTGAATTTCAATGGGGTACCCTCTGAACAATCGACGAACAAAGGTGGGTACTTTATTGAATGAAGTAGGGGTATGAGAGAAATAATGGGGGTACAGCCTGGTTTGCGTCCTCGACTGGGGGTAGTCATCTCAAGGGTCTTATTGTTTTCAGTTCCAGGTCCCAAAGCGCCTGACCATAATTTGGGCAGGGTAGTGCAGGGGTATTCTTAGTTGGTGTAGAAGGGGTGGGTAAGTGTGTGAGGGTAGTGGTAGTAAAAGCCAGGGTGGGGTCATTCATGGAGATTGATAACGTTGGTCACAGGGTCGTGGGGGGTAGTGGTTCAGTGTGGAATTCGTTTCTATGGTGGGTAGCAACCCCTAATTCCAGAGCCATGGGTGGGTCAGATAGTCAATGATAGAGGGTTTAGATGGTCCCCTGGGGGGTTGCGACATAGGGTGGGGGTAGGGCAAGGATCAGTGTTATAGGTAGGGGGTGGGGGTAGAGTGTATAGGGAGGCTGGCAGCGATTTACAGCAGATGAGATGCACATCAGTGGGCTACCTCCACAAACTCATACGGGCAGATAGCATGCAGTAGGAAGCGAGCAGCTCCGTGCTGCTTGTCCTTCCCTCCCTCCTCCCTTCCTCTCCACTGCTCAGTTCCTCTAGCTCTCTCCTGGTCCTTCCCCTCGGATCCCCGTATTGTCATGTGTCGTTCTCAGTGATCCTGACGTGGCCAACTATGAACGCTTTTTCTCCCCATTTCATGTGCCCCGTGCTGAGTCCTTACGTTTGCACATAGTCGTAGCAAGGACGAAGCACTGATGAAACATGCTGTCTGATTGCAAACTTACTGAATCATTGCTTGACAGGACCGGCTCTGATCTGTGAAGGTTCGGCTACAGTTTCCGGTGCTGCTCCCGCTGCGAGGGAGAGGACATCTGGACTAGAATCTTCAACATGTTCGCCGCACGCCGACAAATCTCTCGCTCTCTGAGCAGCAAGAAGGCAGCCATGCTCTCTGCATGCAGGGTCCCCCTACTCGCCAGAACTCAGGGCAAGCCGCTCGTGCACGCCAGATCGTTTGCTGCCCCCGCCTGGTTGAAGCATCCTGACCAGTTCGAGAGGAGACACAACGGGCCCCGCGACCACGAGGAGAAGGACATGCTCACCACCGTCGGAGCATCCTCGATGCAGCAGCTCATTGAGGAGACGATCCCCAGCAGCATCCGCAACCGCCCGCCCCTCAAGGTCGGAGAGGCCATGACGGAGACCGACGCTACCCTGAAGTTGTTCAACATGGTGTCCAAGAACAAGCTCAAGAAGTCGTACATCGGTATGGGCTACTACAACACCATCACCCCCCCTCCCATCCTCAGGAATATCATCCAGAACCCTGGGTGGTACACTCCTTACACCCCGTACCAAGCCGAGATTTCCCAGGGTCGTATGGAGTCGTTGGTCAACTACCAGACCATGATCGCTGACATCACGGCCATGGATATTGGACAGGCCTCCCTCCTTGTAAGCATCTTGCAGCTGTGTTTTTTTGAGAAGTAATGGTTTGAGTAGGATGAGGCCACTGCTGCTGCTGAGGCCATGGCTATGTGCCAGACTATCTGCAAGTCCAAGAGGAAGAAGATGTTCATCTCGGATCTCTGCAACCCGCAGACCATCGCCGTCTGCCAGACTCGTGCTGAGCCGATGGACATCGAAGTCATCGTCGGCAAGGTTGAGGATGCCAAGATGGACTCGTCCTTGATGGGCGTCCTCCTCCCCTACCCTGCTACCGACGGAACGATCCATGACTACAGCAGCGTCATCAAGCAAGCGAATGTATGTCACCGTCTGTTTTTAATAGGGCATCGTGCTGAAATCGTGCCAGGACAACAAAGTCACCGTCGTGATGGTCTCTGATCTCCTGGCGTTGACCATGTTGAAGGTATTGCCTTCTGCAGCTGAGGGTTGCTGTATTAACACGGTCCTTAGCCCCCCGGTGAGATCGGAGCTGACATCGTAGTCGGCAACACTCAGGTCCTTATCTGGCTTGAGAGAGAGAGGAGACTGATCCAAACTCACGCAGCGTTTTGGTGTCCCCCTTGGGTATGGAGGACCTCATGCCGCCTTCCTTACCTGCAAGGATGCGCACAAGCGTGCAGTGCCTGGTTCCTTGCATTGCCCTTGAGGGAGGTGACTAGGCTGACATCCCCTCAGGCCGCATCATCGGGTTGTCTCGCGATGCTGCCGGAAACCCTGCCTACCGTCTCGCCCTCCAGGCGCGCGAGCAGCACATTCGCCGGTAGTTACACCGTACCTTGTTACCTCCCCGATCCCTCACGTGACAAACAGAGAGAAGGCCAACTCCAACATTTGCACCGCGCAGGCACTTCTGGCGAACACTGCTTGTGAGTGGGACTCTTTGTTACAACATGATTATGACACGTGTCGTTAGCTTTCTACGCCGTCTACCATGGACCCGAGGGCCTCAAGAAGGTGAGCAAACAGCATTTTTCAGGTAATTAAATTGCTGACTTGCCGTAAAGATTGCTGCTCGCGTGAATGGTCTCGCGAAGACTCTTGCCTTGGGCCTGAAGCAATCTGGCGTCAAGGTAGTACGTGGTGGAGCGTGAGGTACCACTGACACCCTTCAAGGTGTGCGATCTTCCCTTCTTCGACACCGTCAAGATTGAAGGAGTTGATGCCCAGGCTGTCTGCAAGAAGGTATGTAGTGGCTTACACTTTGTCTCTTGCGTGACCTGGTTCGTGATAGGCCGTCGATGCTGGCATGAACTTCCGCCAGCTTGACAAGCAGTCTGTCACCATCTCCCTTGACGAGACCACCAACCCAAGGTGAAGCTCTTTGTAATTCGTGTATCCTGCTGACATATAATCAGCGATGTTGATGCGATCCTCGCTGTATTCGGAGCCAACAAGTCAAGCGCCGAGAAGCTCTCAGAGCAGGTAGCTTCATGACATGTTTGCCTTGGCAACACTGACATGGTTCTAGGTCACTCCCGGATTCGATGGAGCTTTGACTCGCCAGTCGAAGTTCATGACTGCTGAAGTGTTCAACAAGTACCAGACCGAGACGGAGCTCATGCGCTACATGTTCCACCTGCAGTCCAAGGATCTTGGCCTCAACACCTCTATGATCCCTCTTGGCTCCTGCACCATGAAGCTCAACTCCGCCTCTGAGATGGTCCCCGTGACCTGGCCCGAGATCAACTCTATCCATCCCTTCGTGCCCGTCGATCAGGTCCAGGGATACCACGAGTTTTTGGACGAGCTCAACAAGTGGCTCATGGACATTACCGGCTTCGATGCCATCTCCCAGCAGCCCAACGCTGGAGCTGCTGGCGAGTACGCAGGGCTGATGGCGATCCGTCAGTACCACAAGCACCATGGCAACACCAACCGCAACATCTGCCTCATCCCCCGTGCTGCTCACGGAACCAACCCCGCCACCGCTGCCATGTGCGGCATGGACGTCGTTCCCATCGAGTGCGACGACATGGGCAACACGGACATGAACGACCTCAAGGAGAAGATTGAGCTGCACAAGGCCAACCTCGGAGCCCTCATGATCACCTACCCCTCCACCCACGGAGTGTTTGAGGACACCGTTGTAGAGATCTGCAAGATGGTCCACGACGCCGGCGGCCTGGTCTACATGGACGGCGCCAACATGAATGCGCAAGTTGGCTTCTGCTCTCCTGGTCACATCGGAGCTGACGTCTGCCACTTGAACCTGCACAAGACCTTCTGCATTCCTCACGGGGGTGGAGGACCAGGCATGGGCCCCATCGGAGTGAACAAGAAGCTCGCTCCCTTCCTTCCCAACCACCCGATGGGCGTCACTGGTGGCGAGCATGGCATCGGCGCGATCTCTGCTGCTCCCTGGGGCTCCGCATCCATCCTCCCGATCTCCTGGATGTACATCCAGATGATGGGTAGCCGCGGCCTCGAGAGGGCGACGGAGCTGGCGATCTTGAACGCCAACTACATGAAGGATCGCCTCAAGAACGAGTTCGAGATCCTCTTCACGGGCAAGAATGGACGCGTTGCCCACGAGTTCATCATCGATCTTCGTCCCTTCAAGGCCTCGTGCGGCATCGACGCCGTCGACATCGCCAAGAGGTTGTGCGACTACTCCCTCCACGCCCCCACCATGTCCTGGCCTGTTGCTGGTACTCTCATGGTGGAGCCAACTGAGTCCGAGAGCAAGTTCGAGATCGACAGGTTCTGCGACGCCATGCTGGCCATCCGCGAGGAGATCAGGGAGGTGGAGCAGGGCAAGGCAGACCCTGAGAACAACGTGCTCAAGAACGCTCCCCACACCATGGCTGAAGTTCTCGGAGACAAGTGGGATCATCCTTATAGCCGCGACAAGGCTGCCTATCCTGTGCCAGCCCTAAGGGAGCGCAAGTTCTGGCCGTCGATCAAGCGCATTGACGATGTTTACGGGGACAAGAATCTGGTGCTGCGGCTCGCCAAGACTGACCAGGCCAAGGCTGCCAACTGAACGGGGTGTAACAAGTTATTCTATCTTAACTGTTGATAATAAACGACTCGACTGCGGTATCATGTTGTTTTGCTTGTTTTTGAAAACATTACTTTCTTGTTAGTGAAACCAATATGCCCTTGGGCAGTGAGATTTGCATGTTGAAATACCACCGATTGAATGACACTTTGGTATCAACGCTTCAACAACTCAAACGTTTCCCGAGTATATTTCAACAGATCCTCTATTCCATCATCGACGAACCTCATACCACCCACAGCCCTGCTACGTTACATGTGGTTCCAAGCTGGTGTCGTCCTTCCCGCCTCCTTCATGTACTTCTCATGCAACAATTGCACGTCATCCATGCTGATCTTCGTCCATCCGTTCTCGTGCACGTGATAAACTGCAGACAAGCATAAGTCGGAGACGACAACATAGAGCTCAAGGTACCTGACACTCTTCCTCCAGACATAGCATCACGGAAGGTGGCGTGGTAGATGGCACGACGTCCGAGCTCGCAGGCGTCGTCAATTGACATGTCGAACTTGTATCCCTCGTCAAGCACACCATAGGCATAAGGAGAACCAGAGCCGACAGAGAACTTCTGTCCTTTCACACGGGTTCCCTCGCTATCGCAGTAGTACAAGTTTGGCCCAATATCCTTATCCCAACCAGCAATCATTGTGCCCATTGACAAGCCGTATCCTTTGTACGAGTACATGATGTTATGAAGCAACTTGGACGCAGCAGCTGTGGTGATGCGTTCCTTGTTTCTCAGCTCGTACAAACGGCAAAGACGACCAAGGTGTCTCTCCCAGAACATGCAGTCTGCTGCACCGCCGGCCATGGTACCGAGCAAATAAGGAGTGATTTCAATGCATTTCTTTACAGTTTGCGATCCTGTCAATCTGTTAGACCTTGGTGCTAGCGAAGTTCAAAGAAATCACCGATGTAGCTTCCCATGCTTGCTCTTGAATCAACCGCGATAATGATACCCTGAGAAAAGACAAACCCCAACGTGGTCGTTCCGTGAAGAAACTTGAGCGCCGGATCGCTGTCGTTAGCGTTCTTTGGAGCGAAGGCACCGCTGAGAAAATCATCCGGCTGCAGAAACAATTAACATGAAACTCATGCACGGTACACAAAGACGGCAGAAAGGACTAAGGGGGCTGCAAACAAACGATACATGAAACGTGCCAAAACTCACCGCATTTGGGCCCGGCATGGCGAACTTCATGAGCATCTCTTCCTCATCATATGCAGGAAGCTCAGGGTTCGCAGGATTCTTCGTTCTGCGCTCATGACGACGAGCCTCGCGGCTCATGGCCGTGAACGCGTTTGACAGCGCCAGCGCCATGGTTTTGGACACCTGTCGCTGCCTCCGCTCGACAGTTACAACGGTTATGATTCGATCTGATTTAATCCAAATTTCTTCCAGAATCAACTGACTTGAACCGAACTAGTTCATCGCAATTGAGCCGTTACGCGTAACCGACGACAATCGGGTCGATGGTGGTGACGGGGATGACCTGGAGCTGCATGCGACATTGAAGCGGAGGGAGCGAGGGAGGGAGGGAGGGAGGAGGGAGGGAGGGAGGAGGAGACACAACGAAAATACGAACAAGGAGAGAACGATGGCGACGCCATTGCTGATAGCCATGGCGAGATGATGGCTGGCCCCTTCTCACGCACACATCCTATCACGTTTCGACTTCCGGAAGAGCCAGATCAGGCCGACGAGACTCGCTCCAGGGAGTCAAGTCTCATTGATCTGAGCCCTCACAAGTCACATGGTGATGCGGGGGAGGTACCGAGTCGTCTCGCTGCTGTGCCTCTGCCAGTATGTGGTTTCCCTCCAGTACAACACTCAGGTACCCTTCCACAAGAAGCTCATTGACAACCGGATGCTCTGCCTGAAGAAGCAAGGAGAGCGCTCACCGCCTCTCTCGCAACTCATGCAGCAGCAGGACGACCCGGAGTGGGCGGCTCTGGACTGCGACCTATGGCTCTCGCGAAACGAGCAAGGGATACAAACCAGCCATTACAGATTCCGCTATCTTTCCTACCCAGCGATGCTGCAGAGGATGAGGGCGCTGGAGCTCCTGTACCCGGACATGGTGAGATTGTACAGCGCTCAAGATGACTTCGGCCTGCCAAGCGCGGGGAAATGCAGCGAGGAGGAGGGAGTGGAGAAGAACCAGCCTTGCAAGGTGTGGGTTATGGAAGTTGGCAACATGCAGGCAAGGACGGAGGAAACTCCGCGGTTGTTCTTCAGTGGAGCTCTACATGGAGACGAGAGGATCGGACCCACTGCTCTCCTCGAGCTCGTGTCCTTCCTGCTGGGGACGTACGCGGTCGACCCATGGGCGAGGATCATGCTGGACAGTCGGGTGCTGGTGCTGATCCCGGCGGCGAACGCTGTAGGATACCAGGAGAGCAAGAGGGACGAGCTGGGGGTTGACCCGAACAGAGACTTTGCTTTTGACACTTCCAGCTCCCGCTGTATGCAGTCTGTAGCAGCAAGGAGCGTAAACGAGGTGAGGAGATGGCTGGGAGCTGGAGGCGGGATGGAAGATGGGGAGGAGGATGGGGCAAAGGATGAGGAGGAGGATGGGGGAAAGGAGTGGGGGGAGATGAGGAAGAGGAATCAGAGGAAGGGGAGACGGCGGGAGGGGGAGGGCGGAGGAGGTGGAGATTAAATCTTTGGGCTCAGGTGTGGAGGAGGAATATCTTCTCGTTGGCTGTCACGTTTCATGGGGGAGACAACCTCATCGCACATCCCTGGGGAGACACGAAGCATTGCCCGGGTTACCCCGGGAGGTGCCAAGCAAGAGAGGGCATGCTCTCCTCTTGGATTTCTCCCGATCACACGGCCATGTTGGTAGGATCACCTGTTGATTCTGCTGAGCCTCTTTCGAACTCCTCTGCTCTCCACTCCTCTTCCTACATGCCGACCCAATCGTCTCCACCAGCGCGTTCCTTTTCCTTCTTTCCAAGCGTTTTCTCACCCCCTTCCTGATGAATCCCTGCTCATGTTCCCCTAACCCCCCCTATCCAGTCTTCTCTGTCCAATTCACTCCTCTCCCTCCTCGTCTTCCTTTCTTCTTGTCGCCCTTCCCCCTTCTCTGACCCCACTTCAAGATCTTGTCAAAGTACGCAAGCGACTTTGCTGGGCCTCTTCCGACGGGGAGGATGGAGAAATTCCGCTTCGGCCCTCTCAACGATCCGCGCGTCATCTACCCGGTAAGAAGCAGCTGCCTCTTCTTCTCCTGCCGGTGACGGAGGAGGAGGTTGGAGGAGGGATGGAAGACTGGGCGTACGGGGCCTCGTGGGCTCCTGGTGGGGTGAACTGCCTTCCTTCCAAGTATGGAGGATATTCCAACCTTCGGACACTCTACGGCAACGTCACGTGAGTCTTCTCCTTGCTGCCTTGCTGCCTTGCTGCCTTGCTGCCTTGCTGCCTTGCTGCCTTGCTGTCCCCTCTGCGTCTGGCCTCCCTCTCATGATGCTGACAGGCATCGAGCGGCCAACCTCTTGGTAGAAACAGGTCCGTACGTTGGCCCACCAGCTGTACAGCTGACTCCCTGGGTAAGCCTACCAGAAGATCCCACCTGAGTCCGAGCTGGGCTCGTCACTCGGAATCCTCTCGAGCCTGTCAAACGTGCACGGCAGCAGCGACTTCGGCCACATTGCACGCAACGTTCGCCTGTCACTCCTTGTACTCGATGTCGTCCAACCCTACGTCATCTTGGAACAAGTTTACACCCAAGGAAAGATGGCGGAGGAGGATGAGGGGGAGGAAGGCGAGGAGAAGTAGGAGCAGGAGCCTGAGGAACAGGAGCAAGATAGGAGGAGGAAGGGGAGGAGGAGGAGGACAAGGAGTGTTGTGACTGGAAAGGCAGGAGGGGCAGGCGAGTTTCTGCCGAGTGGCAACTCGTCCACGTTCAGCTCGCCCTCCACGTTTTGGGTCCAGTGGCGTGTTGGAGGAGCGTTTCGCATCAGCAGCTTCCGAGTAACGTGCCGTGCACGCCATGGCGCTGACCAGAGTCATGGGGGGACGCGAAAGGGGGAGGAGATGGTGGAGGAGGAGGACCGGGGGAAGCTCTGTTGGCACAATCATCTTGACACGAGGTTTGCTCGAAATCCTCAACAACTCCTACGAGACTGTGACAAGGTATGAGCTTTCATTCGCATCCCTGCTGCTCCTGTTGCTTCTCATGTATACCTTCCTCCTCCTCATCCTCCTCCTCCTCCTCCTCCTCCTTCATACCTGGCCTTATCTTTGTTTCCGGCTAGTTGCAGACTCAGCTGGCTTTGGAGGATGCTTGCATCTTCGACAGCGAAATTTTCTCTTGCGAGTTTTTCCCGGATCAAAAACATCTTGGCACTCACCGTTGCAAGGTGATTCTGTGCTCTTACACACCCTATCTTCAATCCTTCTCCTCCCTGCTACCTTCTTCTTCCTACCTTCTAGCTCCTCCCTCCTGCCATCTTCCCTGCTCCCCGCGCCCTCCTCCTCTTTTCCTCTCAGGATCTGAGCACGGATTTCCCTCCCTTATTCCTCATTTCACTTGCCACCACAGGATGAGCAGACCTCTGCTCGCCTCTGCCCCCGAGGGTTTTCCCTCTGCAGAGGTTTACCTGCTGGCTGGAACGGAAGGATGGTATCCTTCACTCCTCTCCTGCCCGTCCGCCTGACTAGACTCAGGCGTCCGTTCCCTACCTGAGCAAAATCATGATCGCAACCGCCTCTCCCTCTGACAAGCTAGCGGTGAGGCCGACTACACATCATCTCCTGCCTGCCTGCCTGCCTGCCTGCCTGCCTGCCTGCCTGCCTGCCTGCCTGCCTGCCTGCCTGCTTTTTTGCTTGCTTGCTGCTTCTGCTGCGCCACTGCTTGTTCTCGTCCTCCACCTTTTCCTCCCTCTGCTGCTGGGCCCCTTCCTTGCCTCTCAAGTTGCCTCCTCCATCCCTCTAGTATCCCTGACCTGTCACAGGTCGACATCCTTGTTGAAGCCGAGGTGGACAAGAGCTGGACAGATTCCTCGCGCGTTGAAGCGAGCTTGGGGGTGCCACCGCAGACCCACTGGGTAGAGGAGGAGGGAGGAGGACGAGTCGGTAACAGCTGGAGCAGGTACAAGGGAGGTCAAACGACACTTGGACCTCGAGCCACAACGGTGATGGAGGATGGAGAGGAAGTAAGGAATCTCACTAGCTGTGCAGGGCAGGCAGTAAGAGGAAGGACACGCTGGAAATCACCTCCTCGGACTGTCATGATCAGCGGCGTCCGACTGCATCCAGTCGGACAGGTGGGCAGAAGGAATTTCTCGGGAGGAGCAGGCAAGGGCACCTACCGTCGAGCCAACATGAATGGGCGAGTGAGCTGGAAGGCAACGTGGTGGGAGGCTGTCTGGATCGTATCAGTTCCACTCCTCATCTTCGTGATTATCAGCACACGGAGCAGAGGAAGAGGAGGAGGGGCAGGAAGGCGGAGACAGTGAAGCATATTGTTTTTTTGACTTCCTTTCATGAGAATCAAACCGTCACGCGGAAAAGAATAAGTGAAAACCCAGAGGGCAAAATCTTATCCTCCTGCCCCCGCTCGAGCATCTTAATGACGGTTGTAGAAGTAGTCCCACTGGTGGCGAGCGCGGCGCCAGTCGTCGTAGGAGGCGGCATCGTTGGCGCGGTAGTAGGTATCCTCAGACTCCTGGTAGAGGGCGCGAGCCTGGGTGTTCTGAACGAACGCCTGGGTGTAGAGGTTGGCAGCCTTCTTTCCGTAGAGGATAGTGCGCATTGTACTGCAGGAATAACATCAGAATCAGTTGTGTGCAGACTAAACAAGATGGATCAACGCACGTTAAAAATACAAGACGTGAAGAAAAGGGAAAGCTTATAAACGATGATTACTACGGCATCGCGGCATATCGAGGGTTATCAATATACACAAACGATCACTTTCGGTCGGTGATCTCAAACAAAATCTTGTCTCATGCGACAAATCGTTTCTCAACATCTCAGTTCAACACTACTGGCTCTTTTGGGGAGGTGAAGAATTCAGATGAAAGGCTGGAGCAGAGGAAGAGGACCAAAAATCCAGTATGACATACGGAAGCCATCGAAAGGAATAGTTCGGTAATGCGAGAGATCACGAGGAGTAAAAAGTTTTCTGAGTGAGGGGAGCAATGGGAAGATGGAGCGGCAGAAGACCAACGAGGGAAAGCAGCAGAACAACGTCGAACGTCGAGGAGGAAGAGGGCAGAAAGAATCTCTCATCGCCGAGTGTAACAAACAGCGGATCACGATATGGGAGGTGAGAGGAAGGAAAACGATTGACGGATCGTGAACAAGCAGGGCGAGCGGGTGACGATGGATTCATGGAGCAGGAGTATGTACAGGGGAATGAGGTGAAGGTGAAGAGGAGAAAAAATTAGAACAGAAGAGCGGATAGCAGGAAGAGGAAGTGGAGGAGGGGGAAGAGAGCATGGCGGATGTCTCCCGCCGCTATCTGTGCATCGCCTCACCTTCAGTGACCGTCAGCCAAGGGGCGCGACCTTTCGAAGGCGGATGCGAGGGTGATTTGAAATATATTTCAAACTATGTTTTCTAGTTTGAAATTATATTGCAATAAACTTAAATATAAATTTTCATATAAGATTTCAAACTTAAGGCAAATGATTCAATATTCAGCATTTCAAATTTCTCTACCTGATGACCACATGTGTACCCCTGCTTAGAATGTTTTTTTTTGGTTCAGTACGGGTGTGTTTGAGTCCTTCAGAGTGATGATTGTAGGGGTGGGTCCATGTGAAAGTTCAGAAGGGGGTGCCTGTGAGCCACCCCACCCTCTGTTTTGATGTTACCACCGGTGTATTTGACTCTTTGATCACCGGTGGAATGTAATCTCGTACCCCACCCCTTAGTAGGACCCCCTGAACATGGCTGATAAGTCTCTATACCCTCAAGTTGACGTCCAAACCACCCCACCTCTGCCTAACGGGCTACATACCCCACCCACCCCGAGCCTGCGCACCTTGCCTCCGTCCTCTTCCACCATGTCCGCTTCGCTCGCGACTCTGGCACCCGCAGGGGCAGTGCTTGCCGCATTTTTTGCCCGTAGGTATGCGAACTTCATGCTCCGTGATACCGCCTCCTTCGTTCCCCGTTCTTCTCTCCTGATTCTGTGAAGTTCCCCCGCTCAAGGGTGAGATGGTCGATGTTTGTCTTGATATTCCGTCTGTGCTTGCTGCCCTGATCGCATTTGTTTTCCTAAGGAACAGATTGGTTGTTGTCCAATGTGTGTATTATCCTCATGATTAGAATCTTCCACTCTGATAAGCACTGAAACTCGTCCTGTGGTTCATCAATGGTTCGTTCTCACTGAGCTTGGAGTGTGTTGTTATAATGTAGATATGATTTTCTACTTGCACATGTACGTGGCTGATTTTTGGTTCATTCAGCTCCAAGTTCCCCTCGAGCCTCTTCTCGTGGCATCCCACATTGCTAGGCGTGGGTTGGCTGGCGCTGACCCCGTACGCCATCAAGTATCTGCGAGAGAGCAAGGAGACAACAGACGTGAAGGTTTGAAAACATTCATTCTCCAATCTTCCTGCCATGATTCTATCTGTAGGAGAAAGCGGCCAAGGTGCAGACCCACGGGATCTTGAATGGCTTGGCATACGCTGCGATCGCAGGAGGGTTGTGGGCCATCTGGCAGAACAAGGAGAACAATGCCGCAGCCAAGAAGCTTGTCGCAAAGCATCTTGTCTCCCTCCACGGAAAGCTCGGTGCTCTCACTACCGTGCTTGGTACGTCGTCGCTCCTGCTCGCTGCCTATCGCACTACCAGCCACAAGACTCAGTCCCTGTACTACCTTTGGTACATCCTGTTATCCTTTAGGTTTGAACAGCATGCGTGACTCTTCTTGCAGGAGAGATAAGGTACATCGCTACTTGGGCATCGCTGCTTACATCACCGCCGGTATGACGATTGTGAGCATCGTCAATGCGCCATGGGGCAAGCACAACTTGGGGCCCGCCGGGCAGAAGATCTTATCTGCCATTCTTGTGCTGTATCATGCTGCTGTCGTCCGTGTATGCCTCTAAGGAGACGTCTGGAGGGTTGCATTCGGAATGAAAATGAAGGGAGACTCTGATGTCATTCTTGACGGAAGGACGTGGTTGTAAGTGAAGTAATGCTTGACGTTCAGACAATCCTTCATTTCAAAAAATAAATTATAGTCTAGAGAAATTTGGTTATTGGGTCACTGTGAATGCTCGTCTGCACAAAATTAACAGCTCAAAAACTTCTTGCTTTCGGCAGTTCTGTGACAGCGGTTCTGTCTTGATAGAGTCCCCTGAACGAGATAGCCAGTGGGGTTCTGCCAGATCAGAAGAGAGAGTCTTTCCCCTTCGAGTAATAAAGTACGAGGTCTCCCCTGGATTCCGGCCAGAGGAACTGTCGGACGTATCTCAGCGAGTGGTCCTGCCCCAGCAACATTCCAGCCTTGGTTCGGACCTCAATCTTCGAAAGGTTCTCTCCCGGGTAAGCCTCGTCAATGATTAGCCGTTTGATGCTCATGACTGTGGAGTCTTCTTCTAGCCTCAGAGATTTGCTCTTGACTGCTGGCACTGCTTCATCAGATCCTGGCCAAGGCTCCAGACCAAATTGGACGAAGCCGTCATCCTGATGGCTGGAAGCAGTCTTCGACTTCTTCGAAGACGACCTTGCTTTGCTGGGCTGTGTCTTATTCGATGCTGACTTGGTTGCTGGTTTCGCTGCTTTCTTTCCTCCTGACGCTGTGCTCACCTTTTGCCGACTCTTTGCAGTGGTCTGCGGCTCGGGCTGTGAGGTCTTTGCCTTCTGAGTTGAGCCTGAAGAACTCTTCCGTGGACTACTAGATGGCTTCGATCTCTTCCTTGACGTCTGAAAGCCTCCTCTTGCAGCTCTGAGCTCTTGCTCCTGCAGTTGCAACGCAAGTCTAGCATCATCGGAGAGCAACCTGCTCCTACGGACTGGTCGTCCCGACGATTCTTCTGCATTGTTTGCGTCATGGTCGAAGGAATCGTTTGCCTTAGCGTCAGTCATTCTGGGTGTAGCAACCAGCAATTCTCAACAATCTCTTCTGAGTTTCAAGCCGATGTTCCTCCTGAAGCAAAAGTGCATACGACCCCCAAATGACAGTTGGTCAAGAAGTCGAGGGGTCTGTCGTTAATGCTGTTCACGATATTCAACCAATGCAGTCTCTAAATTTGTAATTCTCCTCTAATAATTTGGATAAGGAAAAAGGATCATTGCCCCATGATGGTAAACCAACCAGGAAACTGACCTGAAGAATTTCATCAGTGCTTGCACATGAATTTCACTCGGAATGTATGGATACGTGTTACGAGGGTGGCCCTCTCTGCTCTCATGAACATTACACTCTTCTAATTCTATTTCATCTGTTACGAGAATAGCAGCTGCAATTCATATTCAACGACATCACGGAGCAGCAGCCAAAAGGATCGAAGGGGCGGAAAGGATATGACTCAGCCAGAACCCTAATGCACGGCAACGAAGATTCAAACATCAACAACATCAATGTTAGAGGAAACAAGACAAAAATGGACAAGATCGTCTAGCTTGATACAGTGGAGAAGAGTCATGCGATCAAAAACCACATGCAAAAAGTCACAGCATATTGCCTTGACACGACAAGTATGCGGCCAGGAGAGATTCAAAAACATGGAGCAGGAGCACAGAGCCATGATGGAAACAACAACTAGAACTTGAATGGAGGATACTAGGTGTTGAGAAGAGATGGAGTGCGGAGGGAGGGGGGAGGGGAGGAGGCAGCGAAGATGTTGGCTGCATCAGAGGCGGGAAGGGAAGGGCAGTTGTAAAACTACTTTTTAGATAAGATTATAGACAAAAAGTTGTTGGTGTTTAAAACTGTTTTTGAGAGGCCCCTCGGTAGATGGATGGGGAGTTTTAGCAATTATAAAATAGTTATAATATTGGTTTACTAACATAATACCATCATATATGACTAATACTTTGTATGAATTATTGGAATACTACACAATGATTTGAGGAATGATGGTACACTCATTGTTTTTAAATTATTACACTTTGTACCGTACTTACCTCCTTTTACCGGTGATTTTTGATGTACAATGTTATATACCTCAAGTGGATACACCCGGGGAGCAGGAACATTTGCTCTGTCCTTGTCAAAAGAGGGGTGGGGGTACTGACAGACCCGTTTATATGCGGTGAGAAGAGGGGGTGAAAATAGACCCTTAGATCCCTTCCCCGGGGTGGTATATGTGGTAATCGTCCAGCTTTCTGACTGTCAGAACGCTATGAAGTTGCCTGAAACGGTGGCGGATCCGAGGCCCGCTCGGCCCATGATCCGGGCCCGGCCCCCGGGGGCGAACTTGGAACAGCGGCCGCCGGCCGCGGAGCCTCACTGAGTCAGGCTCTCGGAAACGGCAGCGCCGCTGATCCGACTTGCAAACGCGAGTCTCGGAAGTTCCGAAGTTCGCGGCGGCGCCGTGACAGCGGCGACCGTGATGACATCACTGAGTCACTCGGATCGCGGCTTCACTGAGTCAAGGTTTCCTACTGTCTTTTGAAGGCTCTTCTCGCCGCCGTATCAGATGATCTTGTCCGAGCCGCACCGGAGGGCCCGGCCGCACTGCCGCAGTGCGTCCGATCATTGGACTCCGGGATACCGTACGGTCAGGGGCAAGGGCTTCCGACGGTAGTCGCCCTCCTCTCTCTCGGTTGCTGCAGTGCCAGCCGGACTCCTTCTCGGAACCAGCCGCTCGCCCCCGGCCGCCCCGCCATTCAAGAGTCAAGCAAAGGACCCGGGCCCCCGGCATCAACTTTTTATTCGGAATCACAATGCGTGACAGGCTTTGAACTTAATGATCTCTTCGAGCCTCCTGCGCGGCCTGCCAGTGCCGCTGCCAGGAGTGCCGGGCCGCCGCCGCTAGTGACTCTGAGCGTGCTCAGTGCCGCAGGCCAGTGTCCGGTCCCCAATGCGGCCATCCGATCGCCTACAGTGCCGCGCTAAGCAGGGCGGCTGCAAGCCAAGTCACTGCCCTGCAGCCCGGCGATGCTCTGCCCCCGGACCCTCTAGTCACGGACTCCAACCGGTCGATTCGTCTGTCACACATGTGACACAGTGCAGTCACGAACTTCCAGCGACCCGGTCCGATCTGCAGCCTGTCAGTGCTACTGTGACATCCTGGTGAGTCACCGTGCAGCCTCCATGCTAGCCAGACAGGCTGAGACAACTTCAGGTGCCCTCGGACTCCCGGGAGAGGGGAGCTGAAATTTAGCCATGATGGGCGGCACCTGCGATAGGCGCCCAGGCTGCTCGGCAGACCATCCAGCTCATCTCCTAGCTGAGCTTCACCCCGTTGTTGATTGGCCTTGGACTCACGAATCTCTCCGAGCCCGCTATGACTCCATAGCCTGAGCATGACGTCGTTCGCAGCAGAGTCCACTGACTGCTTGCCAGGCGCCGGCAGCCAGCAAACTCCGAGTCGCACTCTACGGTCAAGTGACCGAGGGAGTCGCCGCGTCACTTGGCGCCTCTGCTCAGCGTCTCGCAAGGCATGCAGTGCCTGGCCGCCCAACGGGCCTTAGCGGGCGGGGCCGAGGGTCCTCTGGATGAAGCTGTGGATGCGCTGCTCCATGAAGACTCGGTCCTTGAGGCTCCTTGGGCTGTGACGCTCGTCAGGGAAGAGGAGCAGCTCGTAGTGCTTCTGAGCCCGGATCAGGGCGTTGATCAGCCTGGCTGTGTGACGGAAATGAACGTTCTCGTCGATGAGCCCGTGGACAAGGAGGAGGGAGCCTTCGATCTGATCAACGTGCGTCATGACGCTGCTCTGCGCGTAGCCCTCGGGGTTGTCTTGCGGCCTCCCCATGTAGCGCTCGGTGTAATGCGTGTCGTACCCATCCCAGTGCGTCACTGGAGCCCCGGCGATGCCAACATGGAAGGTCTCCGGGGCCCTAGCGAGCGCCATGGCGGACATGTATCCTCCGTAGCTCCATCCGTAGATGGCGACGCGATGCTTGTCTGCCAGCCCCCGTTCGACGAAGAAGTTCACCCCCGCCTTCTGGTCCTCTACCTCCAAGTACCCCATGTTCCACTTGACCTGCGACTCGAAGTGCAGCCCCCTCCTGCTGCTTCCCCTGTTGTCCACCTTGATGACCAGGTAGCCTTGGGAGCAGAGAAACTGCGAGCGCAGGTCTGCTGTGACGGTCCAGCTGTTGCTCACCGTCTGCACATGCGGGCCCCCGTAGACGGCCACCACGGTAGGATAAGGACCAGGACCGAACTTGTCTTGGTCGGGCCGGAGGTACGCGGCTTGCAGGGTGACTTTATCGTCGGAGGAAGGGAATTCAACGAAGGTAGGAGTGACGAGGGAGAGGCGATCGAGCCTCGGGTCCTTGTTCACGAAGATGGATCGAACAACGGTTCCATCCTTCAGGCTGCAAACATTGACTGCACGAAACAGGTGAGTCGAGGGCAGAACATGGAGGAGGTGAGCAATGTTTCATGACAGCAGGGGAGATGGAAATGGCGAATTACGGGGATAAGAAGGGGCAGGGAGACAGGAAGGGGCGGGAAGTCACAGCAAGAAATACCTCGGAATGGGAAGGTGCACGTGCTGTACTGGTCCACGAACAGTTGCTTGCTGTGATCCACGATGACATTGTGCATTCCGCCGTCCTGAGTTATCTTCACCACATCGCCGCCCTGGAGGGAGACAGAGTAGAGGTGGCGATCTTTCCATCCACTCTTGGTCCCAGTGAAGTAAACCTAACAGCCACAGGTCATCCCACTGGTATGAAGACAGGAGAAAGAAAGCACCAGTCCTCGAACTTCATCTACAGCCTTGATATCCTCCACCATCCAATCGCCGTCCGTCAGCTGTCTTAACATGTTCCCGTCATAGTCATAGAGGAACAAGTGTTGAAAGCCGCTCCGTTCTGACGCCCAAATAAACTTGTCGCTACCCCTCAGCGGAGTCAACATGTTGTGCAGGTTGATCCAGAATTCAGACTTCTCCACGAACACAGTCTTCATCTCCTTGCTGTCAGGGAAAATCCTCACAAGCTCCAGCTCTGTTTGATCTCGGTTTTGTATTTGTATGATAGCAGTGTTATCAGGAAGCCACTTCACACGGGCAAGGTAGATGTCTTCTCCGAACCTTGCCGTGAGGTCGTACCACTGCAAACTGCTCCCATCGCTGTTGACGACCCCAAACCTCACCCGCGGGTTGCTCGCACCAGCAAAGGGATAATGATGATCTTCCTGTGCAGCCTCCCCGACCTTGTCACTACCCTGGTGCATGATGCGATACTTGGGGATATGGCTCTCATCCACCTGTTGGAAGGCGACTTTAGTGCTGTCCTTGGAGATCCAGTACCCCTCGTAGCGATCCATCTCCTCCTGAGCGATGTAGTCTGCAAGCCCGTTGGTGTACTCAGTTCCTCTCGCGCCCGACGTGAGCTGCACGGGCTTCGATTTGCAGTCTGTAGATACGATGTAGAGTTCTCTGTCCCACACAAACCCTACAACTTTCCCATCGCTGCTGATTCTTGCATCTAGAATCGGAGGAATGTTGGCATCTTTGTCTGACAGACTGTGCTCCCCGTTCAACAACATAAGTGGATCAAACAATCGTTTCAATTCTCCATTCAACCCATCCTGAACAAACAGCTCATTGCCAATGGGAACGAGAATCTTCCCCGCTCCTTCTGCCCCTTCAGCCCATGCATATGAAGTTATGCCTGTGTGCAGCTGGCGAGCCCGTTCTCGCCTCAGCTTCTCTTCAAGGCTGAAGGATTCTTCCTCACCAGTACCTGAAGGAGGTTTGCACAGCTCACGGACTTGTCCCGTTGCAATGTCCATAGCATAGAGTTGACGGTTGAGCGATCCATCAGAGCTTGCCAGGTACGTTACCACTGAGTCATCAGGAGAGAAGGCGATGGAGTCAGGAGCAGAGCAGCCCGGCCTAGGAAAGATGGCGATGTCTTCATAGGTGATGGAGCTCTCGACGGGAACAGGAATGTATCTTGACTGCTTGTGCGACATGATGGAAACGTTCCGCCACGACTGCGGGGGGCGTCGAAGTTTCAGGCCTTCCTTGAGGATGGGGATGCAGTTCAGGAAGGAGAGGCCGGGGCGAGAGCAACTAGAACTCTGCAAACCAGCTGCCAACAAGATGCAGCGGAGCGCCAGGACCCAGGGAGACAGCGTGATTGACTCTTGAGAGGGATGCGAGGGGGCCGGTGGGTATGGAGGGAGAAATCACACCTGACAAAAGATCAGTGGGGTTACATGGGAGATACATCCAGGAGCAAAGGACTCCATCAGATTCCAGGGATCATCAGGGAGCTCGGTTGGACTCATCAATGCAAAGACGAAAGTATTCTGATTCCAACATCCCTGCAACACGCACATAATCGTCCCTGACCTCTTCATGCAGAGTGTCTCAGGGGACATGGATGGACTACATGTCCAAGAAACTTATACCATCGCTCTGAATGCCTCTTCATCGAACTTCCTGTCCTCTTCCAACCGGCTTCTACTCTACACCCCGTTGCCTCTGACTCGCTATCTCTGTTTCTAGCATCCATGCAGTTCAACAGCTCACTCATTCAACAAGCACGACATACGTCCGCACATCTTGATTCCGTAATTATGAAACCGGGTCTCATCACAATGCCCCATTCTCCCTCCTCCCTCCTCTCTCCTCCCTCCTCCCTTGCTGCAAGCCCCTGCATTGGATTGTGTGGCAACATGCCGCGTCAGTTGACTAATTATTTAGTTAACGCAGCCGGTTCTTTCAGGCGGCAGCCCGGGCCCGCCTGCCCTCCGAGCCGGGCTCCGACTCTGTGACTCAGTACTGGCAGTGAGAGGGGCAGCCGCTGAGCTCGGAGCCGGGCGAGGCCGCGGCTGAGTCACTCGGCGCCGGAGTCACTGAGCCCGGCCCTGTCAGCCTGTGTACCGCCGACCAAAAAGTTGCAGTGTGCCACGGTGAGTCGGCCCGGCCCGCCGCGGCCACTCCGGACCAGGCTGAGCGAGTGACGGGCCCGGCCCGGGGCCAAATCATTGTCTACTCTACCCGGCGTTAGTAGGCTGAGTCGCGGGGGCCCCCTGAGCAGCCTTCCCCCCGGGAGTCCGATCCGTTTCGGAACTTACTAACCGTAGTTCGGCCGCGGCCGCCCGGCCCGGCCCGGGGCGCAAGTAGGCTCACCGGTCGGACTCGCCGACCAGTGCGCCGCCGCCGCCGGCCGGGCCCGGGCCCCCGGGCGCCGCGCGGGCCGTCACCCCCCGGGCCCGGGCGGGGCCCGGACCGTGCGGGTGCCGCCGACCGTAACGGTGTGACGGCGGCCGCGCGGGCCCGGGCCGGGGCAGTCACCGGCCAGTGCACCGTCACGGTCCCGGCGGCGGCGGACGGTCGGGCCTACCGTCTTCCGACGCGAAGTGAAAGTTGAAAGTTGCCAGGCTCAGCATCAGTGCCATGATGATGGGCCCCCTGCCGGGCCGCGCCATGGCAGCGGCGGGCTTGACGACCGTCGCCGCGGCGAGGCTGAGCCGCTACGTGACCGGACTAGTGACAGAACCTTGTCAGAGAGACTCGTATGCGGCTACGCGTCTGTGACAGCACTGGCAAACTCAGTGGCATCATCATTATGACAACCACTGTAACACTGGCAGTAACTATCCTAGTAGTCTGTGCCGCACTCAGTCACCATGAGGCCCCCGTAACATCCGATTTGTCTTTCGAGTCAAGGAACATCCGCTTGAGGGATACTAAGTGGCATAAAATTATGAGGACAAGATGAGGAATGTCAGTGCAAGCTACAGCAGGTCAGGCAGGAAGGCTAGCCTCCGGAGGAAGGGAGGACCTGCAGAATTTTCACAGAGTCAGGTAGGAAGGGATGGGGGAGGATCAAAAAGAAAGTGAGAGCTGAGCTTGATAGGGAGGGGTCAATTTGAAGCAAACAGCTATTTCGAGCATCCAACATAGTGTTCGTATCAAGTGAAGGAACAATACTGTTAAATGGTTGATTGCGATCCACTGCAAGAGAAGTTTGGCATGTGGTAGGGTAACACTTCATAGCAGCAGCAGATGCATGATGCACATTATTTTGTTTTGCTGAACGCAATGATCCTTCATGGTATCATAGAGGTCATTCACAAGCGCAAGCTGATTGTGGCTTCTTGCCACATCTGTACGAATGTCCAACCTTTGAATGATGACAGACCTTGTTCGGCAGGACATTCCGCAACGGATCCGGGTTCTTGGAGCGGACACGAGCGCTCGAAGACTCGCTGCTGAGATGAATTCTCGTGAGCTGTAAAGACTCGGTCCAACCTCTGCCAAAGAATGTGGACGACTCCAAAGAAGTCTAGCCACTCGGAAGAAGATAATTTCCTGGAGAGCCCCATTCTGGGTGCCTTCAACTCTCCGGATAGTCAGATATCTATTGACCGGCAAATGGTATCGGGGATTCTTAAGAACTTTCTCTCTCTGACGAGAATGCTTTCATATGCAGGATGTGACCAACGTTTCGTTTCTTCTTGGTATGTACACGTCCGAACATTCTCTTCTACCTTGTTGACGTGGTTTCAAACATCAGATGAAGCACTCAACCTCGACTTCAGACTTGAAGCAGCTGAGACGGATAAAAGGGGCAATCAACATGTAGAATTGGACAAAGTGGCGGCCACAAAGAAAGTTGAAGAAATCCTGGATGTCAAATATCAAGTGGGAACAAGAATTCCAGTACAAATGAGACCTCGTCCTAATCCTATTGTGCAGGAGCTGCAGGCTGCCGAAGAAACGATGAGGCTCACGCTACAGTGCACCAAGTCCTCTCGGGACTGCGTGCGAATCCTGACGCAGAATTTTCAGTCGCAAGAATCCTTTGATGCCTTGATCACAAGGTCTCCTGCAGCTGCTCTCTGCTTGCCATTTGTCTGATTGTTGCAATGGATATGCGGTGACCAGGCTGGAGAAGCTCTACGATGACGAGTTGAAGCTTCAAGATGCAGTACAGAAAGAGGAGGATCTCATCAAACTCTGTGCTCCAGATGTTGAAGATGATGGCGGTTTCTCACTATGTGCCAGATAATGATAAGCTGAGGAAATTCCAACGACACTGGGATGAAGCCAGGGGCGATGCGACAAGCCCGGAGGCCTGCTACAACGATTGCGTGAAGCTCGTGCGGCAGATCTTCCATGTGCATTTGATGGATAGATCGTCGCAGTTGACTGATAGCGTGTCAATTGACAGGCGACTCGAGAAGAAGAGATCATCAAGCATAACCTCACCAAAGTCAAAAAAGTTCTACACGAGAATGAGGTAAATCGGATGGCCTCTGCGCACCTGGTTGATCTAGCGCAGGAACTCAAGAAACAACTGTTGGCGAGGAGGAACAGAATATCAAACGTTGTGAGTGGCCCAGGATCCGAGAATCTCCTCGACATTCAATCAAGATGTAAGGCCGAGCACTTCTGACTTGAACATGTGTTGACGTGTCTTTCAGACAACGAGCTGGTGCTCGAGCTCAACCGCTATCAGGTACAACTAAAAGACCTCGAAGCAGCCAACCAAGCTCTCGCTGGGACTGCAGAAGGAATGCAAGACAACTCGGATGGGATGCATAGGAAGTTCTTCTGATATCTTGATGATTTTTATTACACACACGTGCGAATTATATAGTTATCTCAGGGATATCATGGATGGGAGTGCTGTTCTTCACCATACTGGCACAGGAATCGCTGTTCTTCATGCATTTATCCACACAATTCTTGAGAACAGTGTTGGGGGTCTGTACAGGCCTTGGCTGGAGAGCAGGAGTGAGCTTGCAGTTAGAGGCGACATCGTTGGATTCATGCTCGGGTGTTCCAGGATGTGCTGGACTGTTGCTCTCACTTCCAGGGAAAGTAAGCGGATTTCTTTCAGCAATCTCCAATGAATGTTGCCTTTCCACCTGGTCTCGACGCTGAATTTCATGGATAGATTGCAACACCTCACTGCGCAACTGGCGAAAAAGTATGGAAGTCCTGGTGAAAGCGGAGAGCTTCATCTTCTTGGAGCGGTCTTCCTCTTCATTCAAGCCCATTTCCGGTCTCCAGGAGATCAGCTCATCTCTTTGACGTTTCGTATTGACAGGGTCGGACATGTTGGTTGCGGGATAAATCGATCAGAAATCGAGGATGCGAGAGGCTCGGCAAGGTGCAGTTGTTGTTCTGGCAGGGAGGGAGAGAGGGAGATAGAGAGAGTTTTTGCAGGAAAAGCTTGCGAGCGAGCAGGAAGAAGCGAGAACAAAGAGTCAGATGAACGACGGGGGAGCGCAGCAGAAGGGTTGACTGCGGGAGGCGGGAAGTTGCAGGAGGGAGGGACGGCAACGACTTTTAAACCCGGAAAGGGAAAGGATGAGCCCCTTGGTTGAAGGGCCTCGAGCACCCACCCCCACCCATGGGTCATCCATACACCCACCCTCCTTTCCATCTGTTTTTACAGGGGGTACTGTAATTTGACCCAATTCTGTTTCTAGAAGGTGGGACAGGAGTGGTCCAGTACGTTAGGGAGATGAAATATAGAGGGGGTGGGTACTCAAGAGGGTAATGGATGTCAGGAGGGGTAGGGTACTACCGGTAGACGGGCATAGAAGGAGATGTTGTGACGTATCTCATAAATGTGTCCGTCAACTAGGGGGGTGCTGAATGTGTATGGTGGGTTATGTTTCGGTTGAGTGGGGTGGGGGTCATCAGTGACCGTCAAACAGATTGAGAGTGTTGATAATGAAGAGTCAAGGTGAGGGGTGGTAAACATTACGACGGTACGTTTGGAGGTAGGGTTATTTTTTAAGGGGTAGGGGTTGTCGGAAGGGTGGAAGGGCGGATCTTTAAATTGGCTCATCTTCAGTTGGCGAGAACTTATCGAATAAAACATATCTAAAGCACGCCATTTCTGAGAAATGATCATGAGGTCCTTTACAACAGTCTTTCCTATTCCTGTCAGGAATTTATGGTGGTAAAGATTGACTTGGGAGACGAAAATAGAGGGTTTCGTCCACTTCCAGATATATGACGTCGTCATAGATCAAACAAGTGTCTTTTCGCAGTCGAATCGACTTAACTGATGTCCTCCGACAGCAATCGACGGATCGTGTCCCTACAGCTGGCAGTGGAGATCACGACCTTTCAGCACTAGTTTGGTACGAGACTGAATCTCTGGTACAAAAGACGTGGGGCGGGCCGGGCACTATATGCAAAAGGTGTTAAGGGTTTCCTAAATATAGCAAACTGCCATCGTCATTCGCCTTATAAAGCCGAGGAAAAGGGTACTTAATTAGGGTAGGGTATCAAAAGCTAAATATGGGGTGGGGTACAAGTCAGAAAGGTCGCAGGATTCCTTGTTTTACATAGACAAGCAATCGAACAAATCAACAAGTTCTGCATTTAAGATCCTTCCCTGGAAGTCAAACAGTATGGTGGGGTAGTCCGACCAATGATCATATATGGGTACTCATCCTAAGGTGGGGGTGGAGTCCGAGTCAAAGCGCTCGACGGGTTTGATTCTGTTTGGGGAGGACCGTCACAGATCTCAAGCTGAAACCCCAACGTTTCATCAGCAACCCGTCAGCAAAAAGTCCTTTTCCTCCATTTTACTTGGCTGACGTAGCTTCATCCACATCCCCCTACAGACACCCTTGTCGGGCTCTCACGCCGGGAACCCTGCCGGGAACCTGGCCGGGTCCGAGTCCCGCCGGGCTGCTCAGCCGGTCACGTGGTCCCGGATGTCGGGCCCGCCGGTTGGGCCCGGTCCCGGGTCACAGTTTCCTTTAGGGGAGACTAAAAAATAACGCTTTTATTATTACTCAAAGTAAAATCAGTTTACGCTCAGGACTGAGGCGAGCTTGATCCTAATTGGCCGCCATGCTGCTCAGCGCACTGCTGCTGTCCGCCGCTCTTCCGCATGCTCCCCCGCGTGAGGACCCCTCATACTAGCTTTTACAACCCCTTCCACTAGCTTATAGAACCCCTTCCACGAGCTTATAGAACCCCTTCCACGAGCTGTACAACCCCTTCCACTAGCTTATAGAACCTTTCCCACTAGCTGATAGAACCTCTCCCTGCGCGTAGAACCCCTTCTACTAGCGGATATAACCCCTCCTTGCTGATAGTGACACCTATGGACTCATTGGATTGAATGTGCTGCAACTCTCGTGAGGATAGAAACATCATCACACACCAAGGGGATTGAAGTGCTTTGTCTTTCCTACAGTAGTGAAGCAGTCAAGGAGGCTAGGCAACTTGCTGGCATGTGATATGAACCGCATGTGAGAATGTAAGGATATGAGACCACTGTTCGATGTAGTTACACAAGTCTAGACCAGTCACAACAGGTGCGGAGCTACATCAGACTTGAACAACCCAAATCACTTCGGATTTCAAGGAGGCGAGGGAGCAGAACAATTAGAAGGCTGAGATGCTTTAGGGGACCAAAACTGATGCTCCCACCGACAGCAGGAGCAGGAGCTGCGGCCACCGCAGGAGAAGGAGTCAGTTCCATGGCAGCGGTTCGACCCACAAGCGAGTGTCTTGCCATGCCAGCGCCTCTGAGTGCTGACTTTGGTCTCCAGGAATCCTTGCCCTTCCTGGATTCGGCCAATCATCGCAGATGTTTCGTTCAAAGACGGTGTGCGGAGAGGTTGGAGGTTGAGAGCGAGGCCGAGAAGAGGCAGAAAATGGAGCAGAACAGGGGCAGGGGCAGGTGCAGCTGCGGGAACGGGAGCAGGAGCGGGAGCAGCACAAGGCTTCTGATGTTTGATGCAGGGATCCTTGCGCAAACGGCTAAAGAACGTCCATTTCGAGTTTGTTGACCCTCCGTTCACAAGCAAGCATGAGAGCATCGGAGAGGGCCTGAGCTGGTACGAGTTCAGCACGGTGAGGACTAGACGAGCTGATCTGGCTGCCTCTGCTGTGAGGCTGACAGAAAGAAGGTAGGAGAAGATGAGGTGAAGTGGTCAAGGTTCGACGAATCCCTTCAATACATCAGCGAGGTATTTCCCTCCCTCCCTCATACCACCAACACCTCCCTCCCTCCCTCCCTCCCTCCTCCCTCCCTCCCTCCTCCCTCCCTTCCTCCTCCTTGCTCTGCTGTCCTCACCCGTTTCCATGTCTATCTCACTCCTCCCTGGCTTCATCTCCTCCCCCCATTCCTCAGGACTGTTCTGTGCTGCATGTCACTGCTTTGTTCCTCCTTTCACACCCTCCCTCCTCCATCACACTCAACCAGTCAACCATATTGCAACTGATTCACTGCTCCACTAGAGTTTGTCTTACAAGGAATTCAGGTCTTCACGTCTCGAGGTCCCTTCGACGGCGTCATGGGCTTCAGCCAGGCATCAGCCCCTCCTGTCCTTCTCCTGCTTACCCCCTTACGTTTCCAGGGTGCTTGCGTTGCTGCCCTCCTGTCTGTGCTCAGAGAGAGGGATAGTCTTCCTCCTCCCGTGCAGTTTCAGTTCGTCTGGCTGTTCAGCGGCTTCTGCCCGAAAGATCCAGAATGGAGAAAACTGTGCCTTGAGACGCAGGTAGCAAGGGTGTGGAGAATTGGAGGAGGAGGTCGTGATGGGGGAGGGAGAAGAGGGGAGGTCGTGATGGGGGAGGGAGGAGGAGAGGGGAGGGAGGAGGAGAGGGGAGGGAGGAGTAGAGAGGAGGGAGGAGGGGAGAGGGTGAGCAAGGCACTGAAAGAGGTTTACAGGTCCGCAAAATTTCCTCTGTGCATGTGATTGGCGAAACTGATCAGATCATTTCTCCTCAGCGAAGCACGGAGGTGCTTCTTCCTCCGTTCCAACTTGATGATTGACCAAACTCCTCCTCCTCCTCCTCCCTGTCTTGCATCTTCTGCTGCTGCTCCTCAGGCGGCAGGTATCTTTACAGACTCGGTCATCATCCGGCATGAGAAAGGTCCTCCTGGTCCCCCTGTCCTCGTGCTGATGATGTAACACAGGCCACCTCGTCCCTTCTGACAAGAAGATTTCTGACGGCCTCCTCTCTTTCCTCGAAGCGCACACAAGCTGATGCTCTAGATTCTCATCTCCACCTTCTTCTGCTTCTTGAGCTGCCGGGAAAAGCGGAAGCCTGGTCGGAGGAAGGAGGGCAGTGGGAGCTTGGACCCATCTGCGAGGACAAGCGCGCTCGGCTCTCCGTTGTCTCCTAGCTCCTCCTTGCACATGGCGAACTTTCTTGGGGCCCGAGGCTGAACCTCAACGAGCTGGGTGGAGGAAGAGGAGAAGGAGGTGTTGGAGAGGAGATGTGGGTAGGAGACCGCAGCCTCCTCCTCCTCCCCCGGTTCCATCACCCTGTCCATGTCGTCTGGATTGAATCCCATTACCACCCGCAGACCCTCGATCCTCATCTCTGTCCGACCGCTCTCGTTCATTCCCTGCCGCAAGAAGATCTCCAGCATCTCCCTGCTGCTCTCCAGCTGCTCCTGCCTGGAGGTGTTTGATAGTCGCAGAGGATTCTCAGCTCCTTCAGAGGAGAGCAGGCGCTCTACGGCCTTCGTCGCCTTCTTCTTCTCCCCCTGCAGCGTCAAGTCACACGGAAGTTGAGAGGTCGCAAGGACACACCATGATAGCATTGTGCGCCGCCAGGAGGGTCTTGAACTGGACTACCTTCTTCCGCTCCCTTGGGAGGAGGAACTCGGTGGGGCAGGAGGTTCTGCTCCGACAACCTTGGTGACCTCCTCGTCTCCGCCTCCCTCCCCTCTCACCTTCTCTCCATCAGCTTCACTCCCTTCTTCCTGAGTTCCTTGATGGTCCACCTGAGAGACCGTGCTCAGCTGTTAGCTGCCTCCTCCCCCTCCCCCCTCCCTCCCCTCCTCGATAGCGTTCTCATCATCATCATCTCTCTCCCCTCTCCTCTTTTCTCCCCCACTATCTTCTCTTCTCCTCTCCCCCCCTGTCTCCTGCTTGCCTGTAGCGGTTCAGCTCTGCGTCCATCATCATCGTCTCCCAGTCCAGCTCATGCTTCTCGAGCAGCAACGACATGACGCGGTCCCTCCTCTCCTGTTCAGGTCGAGTCGCCACCATCTTCCCAAACTTCGGATGTTTCGGATCGTCTGAGGAGATGATGAGCAACGAGGGAGAGAGCAGGGAGTGAGGAGAATGAGAAGCCGAACGAAGGAGAGGAGAGGAAAAAGACGGGGGGCAGAGGAGGGAGGGAGGGAGGTAGGTAGGGAGGAGTAGGAGGAGTAGAAAGAGGAGGAGGAGGAGGAGGAGGAGGAGGAGGAGGAGGAGGAGGAGGAGGAGGAGGAAAGGTGTGGAGAAGGAGGCAGTGAGGTGCATGAGCGAGAGGGTCATATGCGAGATACCAATGTAGACGAATCGGGGAAGTCTCTTGCCCTCTTGACGGATCACCAGACTGTCGGCCTTGCAGAAAAAGTTACAACGAAGCGATGGAAAAGCAGCGAGGATGGTGATTAGATGCCAGGGTGCGAGGAGGAGTAAGACAAAGAGGAGATGATGAACATGAAGGAGGAGGAGGAGGAGGACGAGGAGGAGGACGAGGAGGAGGAGGAGGAGGAAGGGTGTAGTTGGAGCAGGAAGTACCTTCTTCTGCACCACAGGCAGGGCATGCTTTTGGTTCCACTGGATCTTGAGGAACTCCGACAGCTTCATCATCTTCACCCACTGGGCCTTAGGCTTCCTGTTCAACCCCCTCGGATCGTCGATCATCCGCTGCGACATCTCCTCCTTGAGCGCATTTTTGCTGACCCCCTTCTTGACCTTGGCCACCTTCCCCAGCACGCCCTGTCCAGGTGCCATCAGGTGGAGTTCCAGTGGACGGTACACACCTGCTGGGCAGCCTGGGAGAACCAGTAGACGGCTGCGGTCGGGTCCTTGACGACCCCTGGCGGTGACGTCAGGCATCGAGCAAGCAGGAGCAGAAGGAGCGACCTATCCCGTCGAAGTATCTAAGAGCAAGGTTGTGCTGCGCCTTGCCATGGCCCTGCACGACGAGCAAGGAAGTGAAGAGAGGAAATGGGAAGAAGAAAGAGAGGATGAGCGAGGGAGGTCCATGAATAGGACGAGAAGAACGGGCTGCGAAGAGGTGGGTCGGTGGGAGGAGGATGAGAAAGACAAGGAGGAGGAACGAGCAGGGTGGAAAGGACATGTGCATAGAGGACACACCTGATGTGCTGCTGCGCTGTAAAACTTGGAGGCAAGCTCGTGATTCTTCTCAACTCCTACAGGGAGATGTGAAACGTCAGAGCGGGAGAGGAGAGAGAAGAGAATGAGAAGCAGAGGGAGGGAGAGACAAGAGGATGGGAGAGGGGAGGGATACGATGAAGTGGGGAAAAGGAGAGGAGGAGGAGGAGGAGGAGGGAGGGAGGGAGGGAGGCAGTACCATTCCCCTTTGAGAAGCACAGTCCAAGAGCGAACTGCTCGGAGAGTGAGTAGTCCATCCATCAAGACATTAGGAGGAACAAGGTTCTTGACCTGAGCGTCCGGATCCCCTTGTTCTGCCGCCTCCATGAACCACTCAGTCGCCATGAATTCATCCTGATCACCAGCTCAGCGAAGCATCCAGCTCGTCCCCACCTGACCTTGGGCATAGATCTTCCCTTGAGGTAGAAGAGGCCCAGCTTGAACTGAGCCTGCGCTGAGTTAGACCTCAGCTGATCCTCAGCTGTCGTTACCTTTGCGTGCCCCTCCTCGGACGCTCGCGCGTACCACTCGACAGCAGCGGAGTCGCTCTGATCCAGACCGTGCTTGCCACCACTGTAGGCCTGAAGGTACAGTGTTAGGAGGAGGGAGGAGTCTGAGCACTAGAGCTCTCTACCTCAGCAAGGAAGTACATGGCGTCAGCATGCCCTTCAGCAGCTGCTGCTTCAATCTCGTTGATCATCTGCATGCTGACCTCTGCCAACCTCTGCTCTTGTGCTCCCTTCCTCTTCAGGTTCCCGCTGACCTTAGGATCCCACTGCAGCAGCTTCGTCCCTTCGTTGGCCTCCTCGAGCTTCAGCCTCGCATACTTGAAACGGAACTCCGGGTCTCCCAGCTTCGCAAGTTCATGGCAGAGTCTCATCAGAGAGCTCAAGCTCTCGACCGTCGGGTCCTTCTCCAGCAGTTTCACAAGAGTGATCTTTGCCTGGATGCTTCCTCGTGCCGCTGCTCGCTCCAGCCATGTTGCCTGCACACTCGCTCCCTCATCTATCGCTCGTCCTATCCATATCGCAGCCTCATCTTCGTCCTTTTTCGTCCCAAGCCCATCCGCGTAGCACGAGGCCAACCACAGCATGCTCTCCGGGTCGGCCGCCTCTTCTGCTGTTCGGTTGAGGAGCGTAAACGCCTCGTGATCGTCGTACTCGGAGAGACCGTCTCGTCGCTCGAGGATCCACTGTGCAAGGATGAGGCTAGCTTCATGGTTACCCAAGGACGAGGCCTCACTAAGGTACTGCAGCGCCTCCTTCTTCCTGCTCCGTGCGCTCCCTCCGGGCATGTCCATAAGAAAATGGAAGAGCGACAAAGAAGCGTCTGCTGCTGTCTCGTTGTACGACTTCGCGTTTTGAAACCACTTCAGGGCTGACTCTCGGTTGATTTCGCCTCCCCATCCCTTTGCAAGGCACTCGGCATACCTCAACATGCTGCCCGGATCGTCATACAAGGTCCCCATCATGAAAGTCCTCCTCGCCCTGGCTTCATCCTGTTCGACCCCTACACCCTCCAGCAGCATCTTTCCGAACTCAGAAAATGCCTTCGAGTACCCCCGGTTGCAGCAAAACTCCAGCTGCCTCGCCCCGATCCTCTCGTCCCTGGGTACCCCGAGCCCCTTGATGTAGCACATTCCGAGCTCGTAGAAAGCTGGGGAGTAGCCTTTGATCGAGGCTCTCGAGTACCAATCGATCGCTTTCTCGTAATTCTGCTTCACTCCGCGGCCCTCAGCAAACCTCTGAGCCAGCTTGAACAGCGCCCGTGCCCCAGCTCGTATCTCCTTACCAACTTGAGATCCCTCCTTGTACTCTCGAGCAGAGCGCAGGAGGTACCACTCCGCCTTCTCGTCATCCTGCAGCATGCCATACCTCCCCTCCGCATACATCAACCCAACCCACGTCATGGCTCTCTTGCTGCCCCTATCGGCAGCCTTGATCAACAAGGGTACGGCAGCTGAGGCGTTCGGCTCCAGCCCTAATTTCCCCTTCAAGTGTGCCACGGCCAGGTCCTCTAACGCAGGGAGGCTCCCTTTGCGAGATGCCGACTGCAGCAGCCGACGGCACTTGGTGTAGCTCTTGGAAACTCCATCCCCGTACCTGTAGCACAGCGCTAGTTCGTACGTAGCCTTGACGTGGCCCTGCCTTGCCGACTTCGAAAACCATCCCGCAGCTCTCTTGTAGCTCTTCTCAACTCCCAGCCCCTCGGCGTAACAGATGCCAAGGTGGTACTGGGCCTTGTCGTTGCCTTTGAGCGCTCCTTCCAAAAACCACGAGGCGTCCATGCGCTTGCGGCCGGCGTAAGGCCGGGATCCTCCCCAGACTTCTCCGAACACAGGGTTCTGCACTCCCATGATTGCCTTATGTGGGCCCCATGCGCTGTTGGTCGCAAACGTCCCGTTCAAGACGCGCTCGACGGACTCTGGTGAGAAACCAAGCACGTACTGGTTCTTCCTTTGTGCCTTGGTCATCTTCTTCTTAGACTCCTTGAGGAGACGGAGGTGGTCTACAAGGGAAAGAGTCCTGTTTCCTTTACGAGCTACAACTCCTGTCTTCGTTCCTCCCTCCCCTCCCTCCCCTCCCACTCCACCTTGTGTGCCACCCTCGCCCTGCCCCATCCTGTCATGCATCAGACCGCGTTGCTCAGCAAAGATCCTATCGCGCTCCTCCATCAATCGTTTGAGCCTCGTGTTCTCGTACGGGTTTTCAACTGTCTCGGTGATGGGGTTGACGTACAGACCGTCTTCTGTCATCTCAGGCACTTCGATCGTCTTGTTTCCAAATTGCTGAAAGCGCAGGAATCACAACCATGCTAACAAGTGAGGGATGAAACTCTCCACCCACCTTCTCTATAAGTCGCCCCGTCGGCTTCAACCCCTTCTTTCGTCCTTCATGCAGAGTCAGTGCATACTCTGACATCTTTGGGACTCCAGAAAGCCCTTTGCGGGTCCCCTTCCAGATCCCTAGCTCCCCGAAGGGTAGCGAGTTGACATACACATTGTCCTCATCCATGGTTTTCTTGATAGCCATTTCCTGCCCATGGAGGTCTTTCAAGAGCTGAGAAAACATGTCAGAACATGTCAAACCGCCAAGAACATCGAGCTTGCCTTCTCTTCCATCTGCTTCTCCGTCATTTCACTCCAGTCCGATCGCACGGCCTTCCAAAATGCCTTCCTTCCCCTGTAGCCGTAAACCTTCTTGTAGATCTTCGGCCCTCCTAGCTCGTACGCCTCCAGGTGAGGATTCCTCAAATCATCAGAGGTGTTGCGAGGAGGGAAAGACAATCGTTTCTTCCTCCTCTTCTTCACAGGCTCCTTCGCACTGCTCCCTTTGTTACCAGCTTCTCTCTGCACCGTCTTTCTGCTAGTCCTTTCAGCCTTGTCGACGGCAGACTTGCGCTGACCACCACGAATATGCATGATTGGCTGCTCACAGTTTGCCCGAGCAACAAGAGCAGCGCAACTGAGCATCACGGGGTTGACACCTGGTAATACTCCTCGCGACCCCGCTGGGGGCAAATCGGCGGTTACTCCAGCCCATATGGCGAAGAGGACGAGATTCAAAAGGCGCCTGGACATGCTGTACCGTCGATCTGGATGTTTTGACCTGCTTCTCTTAGCATTCAAGGAACCACCGCTCATCTCTTGTCCTGCCAAGCGCTCGTCCCCGTGGCCTCGGAGCACAACCCATCTCTGCATCAACGCATGGCCCTCGGTCACAGACAAGCCTCTGACTTTCTCTCCGTCTTGAGCTCAACCAAGGGGATAGTTGTAGCAGGCAACTTGACCTCCTTCTCCTCTCCTCGCCCTTCCCTCCCCTCCCCTCCCCTCTTGCTTCACCGGCCGCATTGATATGATCCCTCGCTACCGACGTCAGGCCTGTCGCCCTCAGCCGGGCCCGGCGGCCATCATCGGCGCCCGGCCCCCGGCGCCTGCCACCGCCCCCCGGGCCCGCCGGGCGGCCGCGCGGGCGGCGGCCGCCGGGGCGCCGCCGAGTCACGTGACCGACACTGCGACTGAGATCTCAGCCGATGATCAGTGATGATCATCCTTTTACCGAGTCGAAGGTACGGCGGTCAATGGCGAGTCCGTGGCGGGGCAGCCTGCGCCACTCGAGTCACGGGTGCGCGCCGATCGGGAGTCATATGATCGGATGGGGGGGCTAGGCCGTGCCGGGCGCCGCCCGGCCGGACCCGCCGGTCATGGTGTTGCCTACTAGGCTCAGTCACAGCTGGTTCAAGGTTAATTTACTTACTGAATTAACTTGTGAGGCGTAAGAGGACCGGGACTCCGACTCCCGGCGGTGCCGGGCGCGGCGGCGGACCGCAGTGGTACCCGGGGCGCCGCCGGTGAGGAGTCCGGGCCGGGCGCGTACGGTATTATCCTGATCCGGCTGGCCGGGCATGGCGGGGCCGGGGGAATTGCCATTTGAGTAAAGAAGTCCTCAGGGGGCCTGCGAGGCGCGCAGCGGGCCAGTTTCACTGTCAAGTTTGAAGTTTGATTCAACGCCAATTGAACAGTCTAGAGGATCTGACCCCATCGAAAAGAGGTCTCATCATCGAGTTGACAGACATGGCGAGTGGACCCCATCGAAAAGAGATCTTATCGATACAATTATTTGCCAGATTCAATTGAAAAGAGCTTTCGGAGGGAGCCTTCATTCCCTGCCGTCTTCGTCCGGCACATCGCCGCCTCGCCGCCCCGCCGCCCCCTGCACGCAGTAATGAGCACTCCTGCAGTCGTTTTCGTCTCTCCCCGTCCTCGCGAGCATCTCGCTACAGCTGGACCCGCACCTCAAGTAGCTCTGAGCTCTTCAACCCTTGCGCCGCTATTTCACCTCCCGCAGGAGGCTGCTGCCAAGAATCTGGTAGGAGCTCTCGACCTGTTGTGCTCGTCGTCTCATCTTGTTGCAGGGGGTCTCTCTAACTACTCTGAAAGCTGCATGCCGAAAGATCGGAATCAATCGATGGCCGTACTCCCGATGGTCGCTGGAAGTACCGCCTTCGCCTGCAGCATCTCAGGAACCTTCCGACCGGGAAGTATTGCCCGAGAATGTGACAATGGCGATGGATACAGGAGTAGAAGATGAAAGAGATGGGTGGTTGATATCATTTAAGGAAGAGAAGGAATGGCTAGAATGGTATGGGAGGTGCGATCTTCATGATGAATGCTTGTGGAAGGGACCCCTGAAAGGTGCCTGCCCTTGAAAACCACACATTGCAATGTTGTTCAGAAGCTGGATACCTAATTTTAAGTCTCAGAAATTTGCTATACATTTTTTGTTTGATCATATCTTCAATGAAGCTTGACAAGTTACGGATGTTTGCTCACACTCGTTGAGTCCAGCAAAAACAAACCGGGTGAGTCATAAGACTACTTGAACTGAGTAGAAAGCTGAGCCAGAAAACAAAGTCTGAGTCATTTTCATCGATGGATTCATCCCTTTCACGGAACAAAGAAGCTAATTCCATCCATTTCTATCAGCAGGGTTTTCCATCAGCAGCCGCCCGTTGTCCATCAGCAGCCTGAGCGTTTTCAATCAGCAGGGGTTTCCACCGTGCTCATAGCAAAAATCTCAGTCTTTGGGTTGCCTTTAGTCAGGTGTTCAGGTGTTATATGAACGTGATAGACTGCGACCCGGCCGCTCGCAGACTGAGGCGAGTGCCGCCGCAGTGCGGCACCGTACAGACAGGGCCGGCGGCGAGCTCAACTTTCAGCAGTCCGATCTCTTTACACTGAGGCTCAAACCGTGACCGTACTGTTACTTGAAGCTCAGTGCAGTGGAAAAACGCCGGGCCCCCGCCGCTGGTGACGCCGCGGCCGGGCCCGGCGGGTGCCGTCGCCGGCGGCCTACTGCGGCCAAAGCCTTGAAGTTGGAAGACTGAGGGGCGGCGCGGCCCGCCACTGAGGCCCCGGGCCCCCGGGCCCGGCCCGGCTCAGCTGAGTCAGGGGCATCCCGTGTCCGCCTCAATTTCAACAGGTCGCTAATGCAGAGAGAGGCGCAACATGGAGAGGGAGGAAACCAACGGGAGGAGGGCGGGAAGGGGGAGAGACACTGCAACATTGTTACACAGGATCGAAGGTGCTCGCATCCTCTGCCACTAGTTCTGCTCCTGATGTTGTTCTTGTTGCTCCACACTCCAGAGAGGAGGATGCTCAGGGAGACGGTGACAACGATCAGGTATCTCATTCCGTATCATTGGTTCTGCATTTGTTTGCACTTGTCATTCGTGCTGGTCTAGTCTTTTATTTTGTCTTGGAGGATGTCAAATGTGACGACGCACGATCTGATTGTGCTGTGTTTCCCCTGGTGTCGTTGCTGTAACGACCTAGCCACAGAACAAGATCCGGTGTGGCCTTGCTTGCACTCAACGGGAAAGCCTTGTGAGATTTCTTCAGGTTTGGCGTGGCAGGAGAAGGAGAGGACGATATGCTGGACGAAGAATGTACTTTTGCTCCTCTTCTTCTCTTGGTCCATGCTGACGGGTCCTCGGAAAGGCTATCTTGACTTCACGTTCCACCCGCAAGGCGTGTTGACAGGACTACACGAGAGGCTGACGGATGTGGTGGGGAGCCATGATGGAGACGACATCTGCAGTCTGACATGCTGGGCAAGGATTTGACGGGAAACCGGCTGAAGGAGGTTCCGGACTTGTCGATCCTTTCTAGACTGAAGAAATTGGTCCTACGAGGTGAGTCGTTACCTGAGAGAGTGTCGATGATGTAACTCTTGCTCAGACAATGAGCTGTCGAGCCCTGGATGTGCGTCAATCTTGACGAGTCTTCAGCACGTAAGGCGCTTGTTTGAGGTGTTGCAGCTCTGTGATTGTGTGAAACAGCTCGATTTATACCAAAACAATCTCAAAGCCTCGACGTTTTTTGAATGTCTGACCAATCTCAAAGTGCTGGACTTGTCATGTAAGTCGAAAGTGTCTGAGAGGGAATGAGTCATGAGTTGTGGCGCAGTCAATGAGATTCGAAAGATTGAAAAGCTTGAGTCGCTTCAAAAGCTGGAGGCAAGGACACCTTCTCGCTCTCAGAAATTGACCTTGTGCTCAGGAGATTTACTTTGTGAACAACAAGATAGCGTCAATAGAAAATTTGTAAGTTCAATCGCTTTTTGATCCTTCTGCAATCAGGAAGCATATATTTCATTCTTGTCACAGTAACTGCTTATTAGGTCGACTTTAACAAACCTTACCAACTTGGAGCTGGGATCTAATCGCATTCGGGTGAAACCACCGATGTCTTACGTGAGTCCTGATGCAGTCGTATTCATCCAGGAAATTCAAGGGCTGGAGACTCTCGTGTCTCTGAAAACCTTGTGGCTGGGAAAAAACAAGGTAACGATGACGGAGGGATGATGAATGCAGAAGCAAAGTACTGAAACAGCCACTGTAGATTGCACAGCTGAGTGGATTAGACTCTCTGACAAGCTTGAATCTACTTGGTCTTGCAGCATGCAGGCTTCACACAGCTGCTCACTGACGTCGACTTCAGCTGTGTCCAGCAACAGGTTGACAGTCCTCGAAGGGCTTTCTACCCTCAAGGTCATAAACTCGAACCTGACATGAGCGATCCATGACGTGGGTGGCAAGGGGCTAAAAGAGCTTTACGTGAGCCACAATGGCGTCGAGCGCATCGAAGGTGTGGCAGCGGAGGGTACAGACAGCAGATTGATGATGAGCAGGATTGGACGAGCTAACACAGCTGGAGACATTCGATATCAGCTCAAATCGATTGTCAGTGACCTCTCCTCAGCTCATCTGCTATTTTCCTCTTCCTCCCTGCCCGACCCCGACCCCGACTCCCCTCCCATTCCCAACCCTTTGCTCTCAACAACCTCCCGAGCCCCCACCAGCTTCCCATCGATCATCCTATCGCATGTTTCCATCTCTCTCAACACCGGACAGGACTGAGATCAAGAACCTGAGTCACCTCGTTCACCTCGAGGAACTTTGGGTCTGCAGATTTCCTTGCAAGATGGCAAGTCCCTGACGTTGGTTTGTCATCAGTGTGGGGAGAATCTTATCGACGCGTTTGAGAAAGTGGAGGTGACCGTGTCTATTCTCTCCCTCCCCACCCCATCGTCTGTGCCCTTATCTCCACTCCAGGAGCTCAAAAGCTGCAAAAAGCTCAAGACGTTGTACCTCGAGCACAACCCGTATGGAACAGGCTGATCTGTGCGTAACGATGACTGGAGTATGGTGTAGGTTGCAGGAGAACCCCCTTTACACTGTCAAACTGCTCGAAGTGATCCCCAGCTTAACTCAGGTAACTTTACACGTGCTTTCCAACGGCTGACCTTCTTGACAGCTTGACGCTACGATTGTCACCAGGCAATAAAAGATTTTCGAGCGCCAAACGGTTTCAGGAGGTGTCCTCGACTGAACTTCCGCATCTTGCAAGTGCAAAGGTCATGTACAGAACATAATGTTTCCCATTGAACGATCTTGCTTGCTCGATGATGTCAAAGTCATTATCAAGTATGAGAGCTGATATGTCATCTCCTGATATCAGGCAGACGACCTGTTCTCCTGCTATCCTCCGGACCCCCCGCACAATCGCCCGCAACGCCTCCTCGTGTGTAACGAGGTTCTTTCCGAACGGAAGATCTGCTACGATTCCGATCGTGTTCCCCTTCTCATGCAAAATCTTACCAATCATGGCTTCCTTCTCCCCAAGGCCCTCAAGATCGCCGTGTATCAAGAATGCTTCTCCGCCATCTTTCACAGCTCGTACCCTCTCCTCGACGTTCTCCTGATCTAGCAGAGACGTTTGATACCCAAAGTACTCTAGGTTCTCTATTGCGCCCTCAACACATCTCAGATTCTTGTCAACGCCTAGAACCCAACTCGCGCCCCCTTTCAGCGCTGCAAACAACAATGTCCCCGACCCCGAGCAAGCATTCACAACCCCCCAGCCTCCTGCTGCTGCCTGCACTCTGCATCTTGACCTGAGCACGTTGATGACGGCGGTAGCTACGTCGGGCTCCAGCGCAGCGTTGAAGGTGAAGGGCTTGCTGCCGCGAAAGTCCAGGAAGCTCTCATCCTGCCGTGACCAGTACCCCAGCCCGAGGGAGAGGCCTGAAGCACACTCCAGCAGGATGAAGCGAAGGTGCACGTTGGAGTGAGGGAGAGCCTCTCCACCCTTGATCTTGCGAGCAAGCGAGCAGACGATCTCCGAGGTTCTTACCTTGGCTCCCGCATGCTGGCAGTCCGATATCCTCTCGTGGTGCATCGTCCAACTGGTCGTATCCCCGAGGCAGAGCGACGAGTCCCCAACTGCCTCGCAGATCTCATCAGCGTCTCTGCATGGTCCGACAAGCACACGCACAAGTGCTCGACTGCATGCAAGGGACCGAAGCTCATCTTGACCCGGCCTCGCTTTCAACGACCAGACTCCCCATTCCACCTCCACAGCGCCCAGGGTGCTTCTCAACTCGACATCGAAGATTTCTCTCAGAGTCGACCTCTTGTCTGTGAGCAGGACCCAGTCACTCGTACCTTGCTCTGTGTTCCCTGCAGAACATGTTCCCAATGGAACTCGTCGCTCAATCTCATTCCAGTCTTGCAGAGGAGTTATTGGGAACCCCCCTCCTCCCTGCACCCTTCGGGGAGGTTCCATGAGGAGGAGCATTGCCCTTCTGCAGGCAGACCCTGTCTTCCACATCATGCGAGCACTGAGGGGTGACATGAACGGCGATGATGTATGGAGCATCAGGAGGAGAAGCGACGCAAGGAGGGGGTTCCTCGCCATTTTCGCTGCCGCCTCTTAGTGCCTTCGGCCTCCTGTTTGAGGCGGACCCGACTTGTCCCGGGCCGGGTTCCCACCGGCGCCGGGTGACGGTTGGACTAGAGACTGAGGGCTAACGTCTACAACCTCCCCCAGGGGTTGTAGGCTCTAACATGTAGTACCCGTCATGTTCCCCAACAATTATGGACTTTGAGAGGTGGGGTACCTTTAGGCCCAGTCCCATTCGGTATGTCATATTTGGGGGTACATGGGTGACAAGACAGGGGTCATGGTAATACTCCGCATTAAAACGAGTAGGTGGGGTGGTGACATCATTGTAAATATGGGGTAGTTTTGATGGCGAATAGTGGGTAGTGGTTATCAAATACAGGGGTCATCTGACAGGGGTATGAGCAGATGGGGTCCTTATGACATACCGTTGATGGACAGGGTGGTACAAGAGACGGGCAGGGGGTGTAGGGGATGCAATTTGAGGGATGAGGTAGGGGTACTTTAGCGACCTGGGTGGAAGGAAAGTGGTAGGGTACTTCGGATCAAATGGTCACATTGGCAGGGTAGTGACACTTCAGGTGGTGGTTCTCAATACCAAATTGTCGTATTGTTGGAGTATAAGGTAGATAACTGAAGGTGGTGGGGGTCCAAGTCAAGGGGTAGGGGGTGAAACTTCATTTTCGCTCGTGATTGAGTCAAGGGTAGTGATATTAGAAGATAATTGGACCGGTCATTTGATCCGGTATGCAGGGGGTCACTGTACATATAGAGGGGTAGGCACGTGCTGTGACGTCAGGAGGCCAGAAATATGGCGGATTCGAAGAAGATGAAGGCGGCGGTAAAGGAGGTGAGACGATGAACGATGAACAATGAATGATGAGGCAGCATACCTTGCTGTCTAGCAGATATGTTGTCGACTGCCAAATGCCCTATTTGATGTGCAAATCCAAATCTTGTACAGTGAATGGGTGCAGCAAACTTTGCACTCGTATCATGCCATGGGGATGAGATTATGCAACCTCTGCGTGAAAGTGGAACGCATAATGTCCTGTGTTTTTTGACGATGGAAGTGATTTGGGTCGTGATATACCGAATGATATGTTTGTGAAGTTTGAACGATACACACCACCTGTTTGGTCCTGGATACTTTGTTTAATTTGTGATCGATATTTGTATTGATCTGGAGATCGAATCGGAAAACTTGGACGTGGATGCAATTTTTGATGCGTTGCAGCGACCATTTGTTTGCCTGCAAGCTCACTGAAACTTTCCCTCTCAGGGTGGCAAGAAGGGTGTTGAATTGGCTGGATGCGCCGACATGGGTGGATTGGAGTTCTTCACCACCCAGATCGAGTCTGCTGAGGGAGACTTGGAATTGCTCGTTGCTGCTATGGATGGAGCCAACAAGGAGCCCGATCCCAATGAGGAGGAGGCCAAGGGAGGTTCCGGAATGGTCGGCAAGATGTTCCTTTCCTCTGGCGACAAGCAGCTTGCCCTGCTTGCCTACGTCCCTGAGAGCAAGACCGACAAGTGCAACGCATCAGAGTGGATGAAGGCTGTGCTTGCCTCCTGTAACGGAGAGTTTGTGGAGGGAGATGCCAAGCTTGCCAAGGGCAAGATCGCTGGTGATGGCGAGACGCGCTTCCCCCTCAAGGACAAGGACACCTGCCAGGCGGCGTCCGTGAGCTGGCTCAAGGAGAAGGGTCTCTTCCCCCAGGCTGACGGTGATGACGATGACTGGGTTCCTGATGATGATGCTGGCATCGAGTGGTAAGCCACTGAAGAAAGCTCCCTGTATGACGAGAATGCCACTCGTCTGGTTATGTGAAGAGACTTTCTACGAAAGATATCTTTCTCTGTCCAAACATAAGAAGAGATATTTGCCATAAACACATCTATATTTTCCTACTCTGATCTTGACGATTTGAAAACAAAAAGGATGTTCTTGGACAGATTTGCTGTGCGTTGCATACGTAGAATTCGTTTGGACCATTTCAGGCGTGCTGTGACCAAACCTGCAGTAGATCAGCTGCAGTAAGGTATGAAACAAGTAACACCATGAGCAGAGGCAAGGTCCTCAATTGGCTCCCACAGTTTGAGACTGCTGTCAATGAAAACGAACCTTGCGAGTATTGTCAAGCTAATCGTTAAGATTCGTCTCACGGCAACTCACATGCAATCATCTGTCGCTCGTTCAAACATCTGAGGTAATATTCCAAAGTGGCCTGTCGTCAACTTGAGTGCATTTTCTACCAGAACCTTTGACGTTGTCAGAGCTCGTTCACTTGATCCTCGTTTCTACGTAGGAAAAAACGATGATGTCGACCTTCTGCCGACAGAATTGTTTGACTTCCCTATTCGCAACCTCCTTCGTCCGTCTCAGTCAACAACAACGGTTTAGAGACATGAGGTATCTACATCAAGGCCTTGGCAGACATCGCAAGTTGCGAACACAACTCGATCCGACTCATTCTGCTTCACACCAGCAACACTGAGAGAAGGTACAAGGCGATCCACAGCAGATTTCCATCCGGGCTGTTCGACTACCGTTAGACTCTTGACGTCCAAGAAGCAAGCCCTGACCTCGTAGTCCGATACCATCACATCCAAGATCATCTTGGACTGTAGCGACGTCAACACCGGCAACAGCATGCCATGGGAGCACCTTGAGATAGTCTCGCAGCAGATACATCGCCATGGCGTCTGACCCTCCGGCACCACCCAGCGAAATGACTCTGCAGACATCCTGTTCCATCTTTGCGCTTATCATTACACTTGTCTCGCGCTTCAAAAACAATGCAGCGAGGATCGAGCTCCGATGAATCATCCGCTTCAAGAGGTAGCCCGTCCTAGCTCCGGCATCGGAGAACGAAGGCATCACACCCACTTGAGTGACGAGGTTGAGTCGTGCGAGAAGTTCAGAGGCAACTGCGTGGTCTGAAGGGATCAGCGTCTCCGTGATGGCTTCCAGCGCTCGACTTGACTTCATGTCGTGGAACTCGAGAAACTCGAGGATTCTTTCCTTCTCCTCCTCATCCGAGCATGCACTACTATGCTCCACGTCCCCCTTGCTCATCACGGTCGTGAATCACGTCGACGTATCTTTGACCCTATCTTCATTGGGCGTCGAGGAGGCTGCGAGGGACTGTAGCAAAGACAAGAGGTAGCATCATCACTAGACAAGAATCAGTCAGGGATCATCACGTAGGATCAGTGGCACATCAGTCTCTAGAACAGTAGCTGGATCAGTAGCTGGATCAGCAGCTGGATCAGTAGCTGGATCAGTAGCTGGATCAGTAGCTGGATCAGTAGCTGGATCAGTAGCGGCAGGAGTAGCGGCCAACCATACTCGGCTCTTCCATCTTCACCGGTTCACGCCTCGCCTCAGCATGAGGGGGATGAGTTCTTGACCGGGCGAAATGGGCGCGGGGGGCTCAGTGCTGAGCGCCAATGTTCGCAGCCACATAGGACGAGAGTTCGAGCGACTGAAACAGCAGGTGCTATTGCCTGCTATGTTGAGCTTGTAGAACATGCACACCCTCCTGCTCGAGCTCCTCCTCCTTCCTCCTTGCCCTTGTCGTGTGAAGTGTGAACCTGGCTGGTGATGGCAGGGCAGGAACTATCTTGTGCTGGCAGAGCTGCGGAACATCCAGTCCATCGAGGATCTTCCCATTGACATGCAACATATCGGGACTGTGTTTGTTCTGGATAGCGATCGCAATGGCAGGGTTACCCTCTCAGAGCTCTACGAGTTTGCGGCCTTGTGTTCGCGAAAGCGCGAGGAATTCCGTCAGCACGACTATCCTATGCAGGTAAAGTATCATAATGGAGATGCACTCCAAAGTGAAGATGTCTGTTTGCAGCTGCAAGGATTCTGCACGCTGCGGATGTTGGATACGGTCCTGTCGGAAGGGATGGAACTGTTCGTGCGGTGGTTCCAAGCGCTGTTCACTGAGGGCTACGAGGAGTGCTTTCTCCCAGAGTATCCGAATGTCGCATTTGTGGGAAGAGACACTGCACATCTTATGCACGAGGTAGATGATGACGTGTTGCTCCTGGGCCATAACAAGCTCTAGGTTCTCCACGTTGACAATGTTTATGGGTATGACATGCAAAGTTTCTTTGATCTGTTGCAACGATCAGGTCACTGTCACTATCAGAGTCTCAACGCTGTGACGCAGACTGACTGTAGGAGAAGAGCTCGGAATTATGTCACTGGAAGACGAAAGACTGGATGAACTTGTGCCAAAACTGGTTGTAGAGAAATTCGCAAAATCATTCGGGGAAGGATTTATGTAATCGCAACTGTTCTTTGCCTCATTGAAACTAAGTTTGGACCTGCCCTGTTGTTGGCAGAAATCTTCTACACAACGAACTCAAGTTCAGATCACCAACAGAAGGCAGGTTGGGTTTGTAAATAGAATTATTGTTTCTGCTGTGCGCAATGTACAGATCGACGAGTGAGTGGAGAACTACCAATCATTGTCATAAATGAAAATCCATTGTAAATAAAGCGCAAGTTTATCAAGAACAAGGAATGAAAACCACGGATAAATCAACAAGGTCGAGATATGAACAGACAAGATGACGTGTGAAGTTAGAAAAGAAGGGAGTACCCTCAAGGGCATCATGATTGTATAATGCTCAGGATCGCAGATTGCAATGTACTCAAAACACTGCTATGCATGCTTGCACAAAATTAATAGATGAAAAACACAAGAGGGGAAAATACCACAGATGAAAGAAAAATAAACCAACTATCAATCAAAGAATGCCGCAATATGTATATCTCCCCTGCACGTGCTCGATCGCCTCGTCGAAAAGCTCATCCTGATACCCCGTAAACCTCTCCTCCACACCCTCGAGCTTGTTGCTGCTCGGACTGACCCCACATTGCTCCTCCTCGCAGATCCAGCGGCTGTGAGAATGGCTTGGGACGGAGAGGTTGGTTGGGCTTTGAGCTTGCAGTTTGGTCAGCGCGTCCACGCTGTAGTCGCTGCGGGTCTGCTTGCTGCGCGGCCATCGCTTGAGACCGATGCGGCGGCATGCGCACTTGAGGGCCGTGAGGGAGATGCCGAGGATGTCGGCGGCGTCGCTCTGGCGGAGGTCCATGAGGCGGGAGAGGGAGTCCATATCGAGGGAGACAGGACGGGGGAGGTGGGAGCTGTGTCCTTTTTTTCGTGGAAGGACAACGGACCTCTCGCTAGTAGCTATCTTTGAGTTCAAGTCCTGCATGTTGATGTCGCTGCTGGAACTTTCAGGAGCCCTTGGTGTTTGATCAGGTGCGCAATAAGAGCTGCACATGGATATCACAACAACAAGTGATGGAGAAGCTTTGGAAATCGTGCTCTTTGATGGTTGACGACGATGGAGTTGGTAGCAAAGGAAGACAAAGTAGGGTGGAGATGGGGGTAGTGAGGGGTCTGTACTTGGCTGTGCACGTAGCACGCAAAAACGGCCAGTCAGCTTCCAGTCAATCTGGCCAGGAGTCTGATGAAGAGATGTCTTTTCGAAAATCGACTCTTTTTCGAAATTTCATATCTCATCGCTCCGGTACAATTTGTTTAAAAGGCCAAAACCGCCGCAGGCGAGTTGGGCCGGCAGTGACGCACGGCACCGCCCGGCGCCGTCATCATGGCCGACTCTCAACTTCTGGCAATGACCTCCGATTCAAGTTCGGCCCGGGGCCGGCCGGGCCGGGCGGCCGGGCCGGCGGCCGCGTCCAATCACATGACCGTACCGGGTACTGATCGGGCCGGGCCGACTCGCCGAGATTTAGCCTCCGAGGCTCCTACCGTACCGCAGCACGGTCGAGTCGCCGGATCATCGGATGCCCGGCCGGGGCGGGGCGGCCCGGCCCCAGGCGGCAACCGTTCACGGTTTGAACCGTCACTGTGAAAGCGGCTGTGGCCCGGGCCGGTGTCAGTGACTGGCGGCGGCCGCGCCGGCCGCGGCGGTTCAATTCACGGTTAGCCACTGCCTGCCAGCAGCCGCCAGGCCCCCGTTGACTGAGTACGGTCCACGCCCCCGAGTCCGGGAGTCCCCCGGCCCGCGGGCCGGGCCGCCGGGGCCGCCGGGGCCCGGTAACTAGTAAGGTACTACGGTAAGCCGGGACTCGGGATGCGGCGTCACAGGCTAATGGCAGCACAGCACCCCGTGACCGTCGACGGTCACGTGGCTCTCAGCGGCGGCCCGCGCGGCGCCGGGGGCCCGGCGGCCTGGCAATGCATTATGGCCGCAGCCAGTGCCGCCGCCGAGTCACGGTCACGGTGGTACCATCCTGAGCCTGGCAGGCCCTACCGCCCCGGCCCGGGCCCGCGGCCGACCGTACGGTACAACTGAGTCATACCCGGTCGCAGCGCGGCGCACGGAGTCCTTCAAGTCAACTTCGTTCTCTTCTCACTGAGTCAGAGCCTCCCGGAGTCCGGCATCGTATCAGTGGCCCGGCCCGGGTGTGAGCGGGTGACAGTGACTGTCACGGTGTCACGGCTGAGTGACGGTCACTCAGCCGGTGACCCCGGCGGTCACCGTCGGGGCCCGGTCCCGGGTCCCGGGCCGGGCCGCCCGGCGATCGGACTCGACTCCGCCGGGCTCCGGCTCGGCGGCGCCCGGCCTGCCCGCCGGGCCGCCGGCGCGTGCAGTGCGGTGCGACGGCCCACGACCTCGACACGGCACAGCGGCACCTCCGACAGTCTTGCCACGGTCCGACTGGTATCAAGGTGTATCAAGGAGGAGTTAAAAAGGTGCGACTAGACATAGATGGTGAATGCATGGTTTCAACGGGAGAAAAGCTCTGCCCCCCATCGAAACCACGTGTTTTCAAAAACAAGTTGGGTAGCAGCCCATACGGGAAGCTTGCTTCTGTGCGATGGGACAGGTGAGAGAGGGAGAGAATCGACGCCAGCATTTGTGACGAGTTTTCCAGGTTCCCGCAAGCGCGGACACAGCTCCCACCTCCCCCGCCCTGTCTACGAGCTCGAACTAGATTCGACGTGAAGCCCTTCCCCGCTCTCGTGCCCTCTTACGTTACCATCAGCCCCAAGCCAAGGACGCTGATCCTTGGCCGTGATTGCTTCCCCCAGGTGCTGAGGAGGAGGAGGAGGAGGAGTTGGAGGTAGGTGGTGGTAGTGGTGCTGGTGATGGTGGTGAAGTTTTCTGATTCTGATTCTGATTCTGATTCTGATTCTGATTCATTACGCAGGTGGGTCACAGGGTTGAGATGCTGGATCCAAGCCAAGAGACAGGTAGGGCAGCACTGGACGCTCCTTGACGAGAGGTTGAGACAAAAATGCTTCAGATTTCGCTGCTAAGATACATACGCCATCGAAATCAGCCTTCAAGGATTCCGTCGGAGTCGTCAAGAAGGTTGTCAACCTTTTCTTCCACACCCGGCATGATTGTACTCGAGATCCTGAAATCGTCGGACAAATTATTCCCTGACGTCTTCGTCGTTTGGCTTCCAAGCTTAGAGACCGGCGTACGAGTTTTAGCACGCACTTCTGCCTTGCTGTCTCTGATCGGACATGCAGACGTACCTCTGCGGCAGGCATGACCTCTTCTTTCTCAAACTCTGTTCAGATCCCGCAAGAGATCCTTTCCATGTGCAACTCCCCTGAGGTCGCCGGACTGAAGTCGCTGACGAATGTCAGGAATATCTCACCCCCGCAGCTCTCCTTGACCGCAAGTTGCTGCACGTCCGCGACCCCCACAAGACGCAAGGGAACATGACGGCCAGCGACGTCGACTTCTTCATCCGCATCTACCTCGACGACCTCAAGACTTCTTTCCTGTATCCTGACAAGGTCCTCGAACCCTCACCACTGCGATCAACCTCACTTGACAGCACGAGCAGGAGGAGCAGGAGGAGCAGGAGGGCAGATCCCAGCAAGTGTCCAGGTGAGCATGCCATGGTCGCCACTCAGCTCACGCAGCACAGCCCCACCAGTCCTTCTCTTCCTCCTCTTCATTCCAGACCTCGCAACAATCTCGCCGCCTCTCAGGTGAAGCTTGGCCTCTTGCTCTCTCCTGACTCTCCGACAGCCGACGGGCGTTCGCTCCTGCATTGCTCTAGCGCGACAGCAGCTGAGACAGGCCAAGACCCAGCACAAGGAGAGCAAGGTGACGGGCAGCGCGCCATGCTGCAGGCATGACAAGCATCGCAGTTCGCCGCCTGGTCGACCAAGTGAAGGGCCTTCACATCTTTTGCAGCGCCGCCTTGAGGGCATCAAACTCAGGCAAGAGCAATGAGGTATACAGGAGAAAAGGAATCAGCAAGAAAGAAGGGTGTAGGCGAGCGGGAAGAGGAGGAGGAGGAGGAGGATAAGAGGAAGAAGAATGTCAGGTTTAGTACATGTATGTCAGCGAGCATGATGAAAGTTCGTTTCTCTTCGTCGAGCTTCTTGCGGATCTCGCAAGCTCCAATCGAAGATTCCGCCTTCATTTGTTGCATCAGACAATCACCATCCACCACCAGCCCCACCAGCGCCTTGAAGAAAGCTCGTCTGTCCGGGTACTTGTTCACACTCCCTTGGTACTGGGATCAAGTCAGATCTTCTTCCTCGTTCCTCCTCGATCCCCAGCCCTCTTGCCGTCTCTTCCTTCCCCTCCTTTCTCCTCCTGCCCATATCCTGCTTTCCTCTCCTCTCTCGTTCTTCCCTCCCTCCTCCCTCTCCTCCATGTCAACAACACTCGTTCGACCACCTTGTTCAGCAGAGCTACGAGGTCTTGAGAAGCTTCAGTTCCCGTAGCGACCTCAGCATGAAGTTTGTACTGATAGAACGTGTCACGGGCAGCATCATCACTTGCAACAAACACCTTTGAGCCTCTCACTGCGCATAGAAACCCTCCCTGAAGGCTCCCATCATCCTCTGCGCAGAAAGCTGCTCTTCTCTTCTCCTCGCTACTGAACTTTCCAACGGTGATCCCTGCCCGCCCTCCGTCACAGGAGGCGACAGGCACGGCAGAGAACGTTGCCTGCTGCTCTTATGGTAGTCGGCAGCACCCGCCACAGCAGGTGAAGCTTCCGATCGTTCTCGAGGTACATAGCTCCTCGTCGCTCCCCGATCCTCTGCTGCGAGGGAAGAGGTCAGCCCCAGTGAGGAGGACGAGTAAGGTTACCTCGCCGTTGCTCTTCGTCTTGCTGCGGAGCTTGCTCACGAACCCCTTCCTCGTCTTCCGAGCGGCTGAAACAAACCATTACACCGCATGAGCGACATCTGTCTGTCATGACGCTACCAGCAGTACGAGGCTTGTCGGCATGTTGACTCGGCAGAAACTCTTCGACGTACATCTCTGCTCTTGCGCTGGCTGTGGTTCCATGCAAACTCGGTGGTGAGGAGTGGCGGGCACAGAGCAAGAGACGATTCACTTAGTTTCTCCGTTAGATCCTGAACAAAGTGCGTCCTTTTTGGCACTGGAATCTTCAGCACACAAGGTCAATCACGTCGCACGCTCTCAAGAAGAGCTACATGCTTCTCCAAGATTCGATCGAGATAATCGTCGTGGATGCAAAGGAATGAGAACAGAGATCCTACCGTATCCTGAACCTACAGCACTATCACCTCTCCCCCACTTCCTCATCATACTCTGCCGCTGTACCCCGAGATCATGTTGGAGGGTTCGCGAGACGCTGGCCGACACTCCTTGCAGCTTGTCGAGTTTCTGATCGAAGCTGGGAGATCAAAGATCAGCTCCTGACGTCAGGGACGCTGCGACTCACGAGAAGGCATGCAGCGACTCGAAGCTCTCGAAGCTCTCTTCCTGCAGCTCCATGTCCCCTGCTGAGTCCCGCTAGCCCTCTGTCAGGTTTTCACGCAGATCAATGAAACCGATGAAGCTCTGTGTCCCTGAGGTCCTCCAGTCAACTGGCAACGGCTGGCAGCACGCACACATCAACCACGCATGCCAGTGAGCATGCAGCCCGGGCTAGGGTTCAAGGGAGACTGTGAGATGCTAGCAGAGGCTCGGAGGACGCGAGTTGGCAGCAAGCCAAGGGAGCGCCATGACCAGATCAGGAACTCGGAAGAGGGCAGGTGGAGCCGTTGGGACGTCTTCGGCTAGGCGGGCCTACTGTACCAGTACCGTACGGACACAGGATTAGGTTTGGTTCTCGCTGTCTTTCTCTTCTCGCCGGTTGGCCTGTGCGACAGTGTCAGGGTCAAGCCTCCTCGACTCTCATTATTGTCCTCGTACTGATTTTTAATTTAACTTTGAGTAAAGGTCACGCATGAACTTGACTCTAGTCGGACTCGCTGCTCAGTCCGAGACTCGGAGGCCGGGCCCGCGGCCGCATCGACCCGGCGGCGGCCCGCACTGAGTGGCGGAGTCCGAGGCTCGGGGGCCGCGGGCCGGCCGCTGAGCATTCGGAAGTTCCATGCCTCTGAATTCCGACGGCGCCCGGTGAGCGAAAATTCGAATTTTAAAATTTTCCCGCGCACCATCATGGCAGAGGGCGATGGTGCGGGGGCGGACACTTTATCTCACGCACCACAGGTTGCACAAGTGAGTAATCAGGCATCTGCCGCCTGTAATGCCACCCGGTTGAGTTTCAAAGGGTTGCCTGGACAAGACGGATACCAGAGACGTGTTTTGCGCAACAGGGACGGAGAATCATTTGAGGTTGGCTCAAAATGGAGGGAATGAGTTGACCAGAATGGACGAATTGTATCTGACATTGGCGGATATGAAGGCAAAGTACAACCAGCAGTGTGATAAACACAGAGCTACCATCGCCGCCGAGGAACAATCTGATATGCTGGATTATTCTGAAATGCTGGATTATTTCAAGAGAAGTGATGATAGATTTTATTCTTTGGTTCAGCAGGATGCTTCTATGCGCAATGAGACCAAAAGGATCAAGTTTGAGGCTCAAAGAGCAGAATCACTACATAAAGTCATTCAATCATTTATGGAATGCAAATCCAAAGGCATCGAACTTCCCGCCAGCCTTCTGGCAAGTATTACAGGAGCAGATGTCAACTCATGCTGAGAAGTAATTCTTCTGTCTCCAGATATGCACTGGTCTGATTGCCATAAAATATTCCGCGAATGTTGTAGAACAAAGTTGCCAATGGAGAAAGATTCCCAACCTGTTGCGACCCCAATCGCAAGTTCTGGGGATGCTTCAGTATAGCAAAATAGTTGGATATCTCCCCATACATGTTCTCGATTACAATACGAAACCTAGACATCAGTGCGTTGTACCTGCGTTCAAATTGCGTAAGTTGTCCACCATGTTCAGGCTTCTCAACCCGCTGCATGTAGGGTCCACATGGATACGCACCATCTGCAAAGGCAGAATAGACCAAACCGGTTTCGTCATGTACACGATCCAAATCCTGTACGATTCTTGTCTCGTGAAACTTTCATAGTTGCGTCATGATTGGTGCCTCTCCATGGTCCCCAACATAACCCTATGCCATTGGGCAAAATTGCCCCCTGGAATTTGAGTGCATGTTTGCGTTCTTTGCCAGCGAAAATTTGACAATCGAAAGTAACTGACTTAGAGCGGCTGCCGCAGTCCGCACTGATTCAACCAAGCATGAATCTTCCAGGATTTTCTTGTGAATGTTGAAATCGCATGCAGTTACCAAGGTTTTCTTGTAAATGATGATTTTGCATGCAACTGCTGCGGATTGCTTACAATAGGGCAAGGAATAGATAGGTTTGTGATAGTAGCCAACATCATGTTTAGAGTTTCCAGATCTCTCTCCAATGATTGCGATACCTTTGCATGGACTGAGTTGGTACGAAGCGAAGTACTAGGACATTTCTTTGTGAAGGGGGTACAAAAAGATAATTGAACGGTAGAGATGAAGGCAGTGCTAGGAAGTTTATTTTACTTTATCAAGCCATGCATGAAGATGAAATAAATTTGCAATCCAGCTATACTCATTTAACTTTCCTCCGATCGTTCGTTCATCCTACGGATCCACACAAACTGCTGTTTGACGAAGTTGAAGGAACTAAAGTGATGCATCCACCCCATTTCAGACAACGCAGGCAAAAATCCAAACTAGAGTAGTTAGGAATAGTTCTTCTAGTCATCGTTGACCGAAGTCTTGCCGGTGTCTCTGATAATTTATCCTCTGCATCTCTAGTCTCCGCCGATAGCAAACTTGTAATATCATGGATGACGCACGCAAAGACAAGAAAATCTCCTCAATCACATGACAACCATCAAACGGCAGTAGTCTTGTCACGTCATCTCCTAGTGTTACCTAGCCTTTAAGTTGCCGCGCACTCCCTTCACCGATCCCCATTCCACAGGCGCCGCGCCATCTTCGCACACTTGTTTGCCGCCTGTGTCACCCACTCCCTAAAGGAATATCATTGTGAACGGGTGGTCGAACAGAAGTCTGTACCCCCTTTACAATCCTCTCTGTACACCACAAACAGGGGGTAGTCACCACCCCTTGATGGTCGAGACAGATTTCACCCCTGTATATCTTATCAATTCGATGGGTGGGGTGCAGGTTGGTTTTTTTTTGGGAGTACCCCTACCCCCTCCTTTGACCCATCCAGCAGAAACGCTCCAAGGACACCGGTGATGGGAAAGCTCTTCATTGCAGGGGTAGAAGATGGAGAGAAGGGGGTACACTCTGAGGGGGTAAGGTGGCATGAGTTTATAACTCCCTTTTTTAACTTCACACGAACGCATCGTTTCGTCGGGCCGGTGTTTTAGACCTGTTGATACACCCCATCGGGAGGTGGGGGGTACCCACCCCACCCCCTGAGAGATGTGAATTCGCAAACAGGAGCAAATCTTAAAATATTATATATGTAGTAAACTGAGCCTTTGCACGTGTTACCACCCCTCCGAGGGCTATAAAAGGAAAAGAGGAGCTCCAAACCATCACCTCCGCCCACTCCCATGCCACCCCCCTAAAACCCTTAGTTTTTTCAAGTCTAGCCCTGCACATACCCTTGACCCCACGACCTCGTGCTCCAATCCACATACCAACTCCTCCACGTCCTCGTTCTCTATCGCCCTTGAACCCACCACCCCACGACATCGTACCTGCGCAGTGCAGTGATTTCGTGATTTGATCTCGTGGTTCTGCTGATTTCGTGGTGCTCACTTCATTTCTGTACCACCCCCTTCCCCATCCGCGGGTGTTGATCGCAAAGGCTGCGCTGCCTCTCGGGTATTGACCGGTGGTCTCTCGGGTATTGACCGGTGGTACCCAGTAGAATCGAACAAGCACTTGAAAGGTATCGAGATGCCGGAGAAGCGTCGCAGGCAATCCAAGAAGGGAGGCAACAAGAGGAGGAGGGGTACCGTCAACGGCAACGGTAACCAGAGGGGCGATACGAGTGAGGGGGTGGTGGTGGTACCCCAGCAAACGACTCCGGTCGAGACGGAGCCGACGGCGCCGGCGGTAGGGACCCTGAGGGTGGGTGCGAGGAGCAACGAGGTGAGACGAACCCTAGAGGAGGTGGAGACGGCTGAGCAGATCATCAACGACCACCTGGACTATCTTATGGACCTAGCCTGGGGGGTGATCGATGCCTCAACGAGGGCAGAAGACCGGTGGGTAGATGAGATGCTCGCATCCATGGACAGCAAGGGGTTCCTCCATTGGTACACCCAAGAAGGGAATGACTAGGAGGGTGGGGGTACTACTACCTCGAATGGAAAAAACTTCAACCGACAAAAAAACGGTTTTTGGCTTCTTTTGGACCCTGGTCGTACAAAGCATTTTCAAGGGCCCAGGGTGGGTACAAGGGCAGACCGGTGGTGGTCAGGAAGAACCCCAGTTCAACGATTGGGGGTCTCCATTTGTGTTTTAATTTGTGGTGTGTTAGTTGAAACATCTCGATGTAATTTGAAACGTTCGCTACTAACAAGAATCAATTTGAACGGCTATCATGAACCTGTCTTCAAGTTCTCCTCCTCCCACCACCCAGCACCTCAACCATCCAAGTTCGAATACCCTACTACCCTCTCAGAGATGCCCATGGCCGTAGCCTCGGTAGGAATGTGATACATATCACGTCCCTCAATTGAAAACTCGATACCTCGTACCATCGAGTCAAAATGCAAGAGAAAAGTATGGTAGGGGCAAGAAAAGGCAGCGAGTACCTCCTACATGAATGAGGTCGTGCTAAGTGATCAGAGGCGGGCTTACAAGGGACCCCTCCGATGCTCAAGATCTGCCTCAGATCCAGCCTCTCAGATCTGATCAGAACCTGCCTCAGAGCCTGCCTCAGATCCAGCAGTCTCTCCAACTGGGTCTGTGCGGAGACGTGGGCTCCCCATGGAGAGGGTTCAAACATGGCGGGAAGGCGCTTGAGCCTGTCGGGGGAAGCAACGACAGGTGGCGGGGTGGCAGGGAAGGGATAGAGCACGGCCAAGTGGCGGAGGAATGAGACGAGAGACAGACATGGCTAAGAAGTGGACGACACGGCCAAACAGACGATATGGACTGCAGGTGATTAACAGCTCGATGGAGAGGACGCGAGAATCTGGGCAAGAGGACCCATGTGTCAAGGGAACTTCGCTGTCATCTAGAGCTGACAATGAATCAAACAACAGATTGTGCAGAGAAGACCATTCAGAGAACCTTCATCCCTTTTCTAAACCAGACAAGACCGAGCGCGATCTCTCTGAGGAAGAGATAGTCATTCAGCAGCAAGAGCAGCAGCTGCAGCAGGACCTGACCGCATTGAGAAGAAGACGTGAGCAGCTGAGAATAGAGAAGCTGAAACGAGAACTGCAAGCCGAGGCACAGGAGACCATCTCGAGGATAGAAGACCAGCTGCAAGAGAAGCTTCAGTCCCAGATTCTAGAGTTACTCAAATGCAAGGAGGAGAAGCTTGAGAGCTTTGCTTGCTACCAACGAGAGGTCGACAGACAGATCAAGCAGCTTCAAACTCTACGCGAACAAGCAGCCGTACAAGCAGGTGTTTTGACAGTTGCAACCATGTTCGCGATGTAGCTGATTTGCTTGTGCAGAGGGATTGGAGCTCGATTACATAGAGGCGGTTGAGAAGTTGAGAAGGCAGCATCACCAGGCTCTGTGCGCCAAGAAGGAGGAGGTCCAAGAGCTCGTGAAGCTCCGACTGGAGGGCGAAACTCTCAAGCCCCAGGAGACCAGCGCTAGTGCAGAAACCAGCGCCGTGACCACTTGAGGAGAGGAGGGGCTATGTGAGATTGAGATTCATGTATAAGTATTCCACAAGGTGTCTAAAGGCTGCATGAAACGAGGCTCTCGTTCAGGTTACATCTGACATGTACCTGAACAGAGTAAGATCAGCACAAAGATCGTTGTCCTCCATCGTCCTCCATCGTCAACTCACTTGTCCACCACGTTGATCATCGCGTCTTGCAAGGATACCCTGTTAACCTGGTCTACTGATATGAGGGCCAACCCTATCCAGAACTCATCGGGCACCAACTGCCAGACTGTGAGTGTCTACTGAGACTAGGAGCACGATTAACCTCGGCATCAGTGTCAATGGCTGTCTTCCCGGCTGTTTCCTCCAGCTCCTCTAGTTGTCGGCACAAGAAGAAACACTTGCACTTGCGGAAGACCTTGGACGCAAGGTCTGCACACAGAGTCATCAAGAGGAGGTACAAGTAGAGGGTGCCTGAAGGGACGGGCCCCTTGACGTTGAGCACCTGCACCGAACCGTCGGTCACCACCACCACCACAGCAGTGCTCTGCTCAACCTTGACAGCCTCGGCAAACTCTTGGACCTGCAGGCCCCTCGTCGGGTCCTTGCAGAACCTCCCAAACGACCGCATGACCATCCGCTCCTGGTGCGGCGGCATCCCCTTGATTGAGGAGGCGTCAGGCTCTCTCACACAGCTCCTCCCTCTACCTGCTCCAGCTGGCCAAGACCTGTCCCCTCGTACAAGGACGTCACCTCCGCCAGAGCGTGTGGTTGGATGCGCTTTTCGATCAGCCGGCGGAGCCTGGCGGCCAAGTCTCGCTGCTTCGAGTACTTGACGTTGGCGAGGCGGACGAGGCCTTGCAGCAGGTCGTTGGCCGTCAACTTGCTCTGGGGATCGTGAAGGTTCTGGGAGGGATGAGCTGGGAGTACGCGAGTCTCTTTGTTCGCACCTTAAGTCGATGGACGCGGGGGAGGGGATAGAGCTGCCGGATGCGAGGGAGCCACATGGTCCGGTCCATGTCTGCGAGTGATCTGTGCGGTTTGACGAGCTTGCAGCGGTGGAGGAGGAGCCAAAGATCTCTTAGCCTCAGGTAGGTGCACTCCACGTCGCTATACTTGATCATGATCTTGTCGAACATCTCTAGAGCTCAAGGTCAGTTGTTAGCCTGACAAACATGAAAAGTCGAACCAGTGTGGTCAAAGATGATCTTGTGAACGTCATTGACCTGATCCCACACGTTCTCCTTCCCCTCTAGGATATCTACTAGAGCATACATGAGCTGCCTTGCTGTCATAGCCGTCAGTAGCTGAGGAGGAAGGAGACTAAGTCAACAGCACCATCAGTGAAACTGGTTTGCTCTGATGTCTCATCCTTCTCCTCGATGGTCGGGACTATCCGCGCGTTCATCTCCTGCAGATTCTCGTCGCTTCCATGCCGTAGGAAGGAGAAATCCACAGCGTCGTGCTCAGGAGCTTCTGCGATCTGCCTGCTCAAGTCCTTTGCTGTCTCTATGCTCACCCCATTTACTCCCGTGATCACATCCCCTATCTTGATCCCGGAGAACTCACACGCGGACCCCTGCTGATCCTTCAGCACTTCTCATCCTCCTCTTCCTCTTCCTCTTCCTCTTCCTCTTCCCCGTCACGTCCTCCTTCTCCTCCTCAATTCTTCCTCCTCATTCCCTCTTCCTCAGCATCTTCTCCTCACCGGGAAGATCTCTGCCACAGCAGGAGGGTGCATGTCGTCACCGAGCCGGAGGCCGATACCCGGGTGGATGAAGCTCGAGCCTAACCCCCCCATCTTCCTGCATCCAGAGGTGACGAGAGGGGCGCGGGGGGGGAGAGCAGCTGCAACTACCACTCGTGCCCTTCCTCAAGGGAGGGCACTCGCTCCAGCTGGCTGCTGGGCAAGAGCTGCTGGAGGTGACTCGGCAGCTTCTCGAGCCTCGTGCTCTCGTCGAATGACTGACCCACCGTCAGTGAGCGAGGAGGAGGCAAGGGAGGAAAAAGAGATGGTGGACGAAAACGAGGAAGAGGAGAGGCAGGAGGAGGGGCAGGAGGAGGGGCAGGAGGAGGGGCAGGAGGAGGGGCAGGAAGAGGGGCAGGAGGAGGGGCAGGAAGAGGGGCAGGTCAGTCAGTCACCCGTGCATCCCAGATGCGAATGGTTTGGTCGTGACTCCCGCTGTACAGCAAGCCGTCTCGATACGCCAGGCTCAGCACCCCATCCTAGCTCGACCGTCAGCCGCTGGCTCGCATGCTGCGCCGCATGCCGTGTGGCCTGAGAAAGAGGCAAGGCGGTTTGCGGAGGTCAGCAGAGGCTTCGAGGGCTTCGCTTCCCACAGTGAGACCGTCTGGTCGTCACTGGCAGCATAGAGCCGATCCCCTTGCAGCAGGAGGGCGGAGACTCCGTTGTCGTGCCCTAGGATGGTGCTGACTAGCTCCATCTTAGAGCGCGACCAGATTTGTACCCTGAGGTCCCGTCAGTCTCATCGTAGAGCCCGACGCTGCTCGCCTCCCGTCTCGTATGGCAGCGTAGAGGTAGGTATCCGAGCTCACAAGGTCTACCACGGGGCTGGCGGGCCGTCTGACGTCCATGAGCCGTTTGTGCTCCCCCTCCTCCTGAGCGCCAAGTGAGGACAGTCGGAGAGGAAGAGACGACCTTGAAGTAGGAGATGTACCCGTCCCATGACGCTGAGATCACAGCGTGATCGTCGACCTGCCTGCGAATCACCGGCAACTCTTCTCATTCCTTTTCCCCTCGTCCCCCTCCCCCTCCCCTCCCCTCCCCTCCTCTCCTCTCCTCTCGTCCTCTCCTCTCCTCTCCTCTCCTCTCCTCTCCTCTCCTCTCCTCTCCTCTCCTCTCCTCTCCTCTCCTCTCCTCCTCTTCACCGATACGCTGCTGACGGGCAAGTTGTGGAATCTGAACTTGCGGATACACTTGTTCATCCGCAGGTCGTGCATTCGGAGAGCACAGTCGTGTCCTCCCGAGTACAGGAAGTCTTGGTGCTTGTCAAGACAGTACACTGCTCCTCGATGACCAGCCAGTTGCCTCCTGGACTCTTGCTTCATCTGCGACGCAACTTCAGCATACGGACCTCCCCTCGAGAGGCTGGCACACCCTCAGATCTTGAAGCAAGATGCTCCCTCGCTCGTTGCCGACGTAGACGACATGGTCATCAACATGCAGCGAGTGAATGGGACTGTCACTGCTCTTGTACGTCTCCTCGCACACCCCCTCCTGCCTCCAATATGAATATTCTATCCTTTCCCTCCTCCCTCCTCCCTCCTCCCTCCTCCCTCCTCCCTCCTCCCTCCTCCCTCCTCCCTCCTCCCTCCTCCCTCCTCCTCTCTCACCTCCAAGTCGATCACGCAGAACCGGCAGTCATAGGAGCCGGAGATCAACTTCCCTTCTCCTCCTTCCCCATGCACCCTCAGCGCACTGACCCCCTCCTTGTGCACCGAGTCCCAGCAGTACAAGCTTGCCATTCCCCTCCTCACTCCTAACGGCCCTACCACAAAACGACAGGCAGGGGAGGAGGCGCATCGGAGGGAAAGGAAGCGAGAAGACGGAAAGATGGTGGGAGCGGCAGAGGCAAGAGGAGGAAGAGTGAGAGGAGAGGAAACTACGTAGACAAGCTCGCCGGCAGCATGTCGAACAAGTAAGGAAGCAGCTTGAAATGCCCGACACCCATCATGTTCAGTGGGGATCAAGTATTCAGACATTTATGATATCATATTCGTTATACATATCAGCTAGTATGACATACATCACAGCATCGTATTGATTGCCAAGGCTCGCAAACAAATCGTGCACTCGATCACTGCCATATCAACACGTCTAAGGTTTCAGCGATCACTGCCATATCAACACGTCTAAGGTTTCAGCGATCACTGCCATATCAACACGTCTAAGGTTTCAGCGATCACTCAACGTGTTGTCTATGGTCCTCAGCCTGCGAGCAAGTCAGTCAGTGATCCAGCTGCTTCCTCGAGCTGGGAGTACAGAGTCCTGGTGCTGGGAGCTCGACCGAACGAGGGAATGGTCGCATGCTGCTGCTGCTGCTGCTGCTGCTGCTGCTGCTGCTGCTGACGGAACTGCTCAAGTTCACTCCCAAGGTCAACCTGCCTGCTGAACCGCCGCATGGCGAGTTTGCTGTCAGAGTGCGACTGGTGGCTAGAGGAAGGGAGGGGAAAGACTTGTTCATCCTCCTCATCCTCCTCCTCCTCCAAGGTCTCTCTTTTCCTCCAGCTGGGCGATAGCAGGGAGGCTAGCGGACTGTTTGCTTCCTGTTCCCCCGAGAGATCAACGATGCGCACAACAGGAGGCTCCCATGTTCTGCTGAGACGTCGCACTAGAAGTCTCTCCTGACGAGGCGGAGGCTTCTCCTCCTCCTCCTCCTCCTCCTCCTGCTCAGACCCCTTGAGTTGCTCCTTCTTCCTCATCTTTGCTCGCAGGCTGGCGCTCTCGAGGTCCTGTCTCGCCCCTGCCTTCACCTGGCGAGCATCGACACGAGGACGGAGAGGAGGGTAGAGAGCTACGAGGAAGAGGCGATACAAGCGAGATGTCAGTAGGAGGAGCAAGAGGCGAGTGGTGAGCTGACCAACGTCTAAGAAGCTAGTGTCAAGCCCTCTCGTTCGAGGAGGTTCGCTGGAGCTCTTGGGAAGAGGAGGAAACTTGCCTCTGACTATGACACCTGGAACAAGTCAGCAGCCTCTTTGACTTGACGTCTGCGATTACTCCGAGTAGTCGCCGCATGCTTTAGAGCCGGGGGGGGGACGTCCTCCTCGCCCGCGGCCTCGAGGGAAATCGACTGGATGTAACCGCTGATGTCAAACCTGTCGGCGTCCCATGACCTGCCATGGCGCGTGAGAGAAGATCGATCAAAGAATCGTGACAACGTCTTGTGATGCTTGAGATGGGAATGGTTTGGATCCTGTTCATGCATTCACGTCGACGGAGAAAGCAAACAAGATCAAGATCACGCACAGTGATTGGCCTGACTTGTTGTGCTTTGCGTTGCTCAATAATGTCTTCTAGTGCTAGCCGCTTTTTATTCCTCCGATCCTGTCTCACTGCATCACAATCAATCTCCTCAACTCCTTCAACTACCATAGCTCTGAGAACTTTCTCTTCCCTGGCCTGCAGACGAAGGTACCCGGATCAGAACATGGCCGACGTTGATCCCTTACCTTTTCCTTCTCGGCCTCTGTGTACGAAGGAGCATCTCTACTCCTCTGATCTATCAAATGGCTCATAAAACAACATCGAACGCAACATTCACTGCACAAGATCACCTTGAAACTTTGCTTCTTCAATTGACCTCTGCTTGTTCAAAGCTTTCATCATCTCCCGGTCCCTTTCCTCCTTGTCTTTATCCTCCTCTTTGTTCTTGTCATATATGAAGCCACTTCTTGCCATCGATTTGAAGTTTTCTCCCACAATCGCTTCCGGGATCTCTCGTACAATATTCCTCTTCCTGGAGATCAAAGACAACATCAACGCCTGCATGAATGACGACGTCCATCATTCCTTATCCTCAAAAAGTTTCTGCTGAACCCGATCGACATCTGCCGCTTATCGCTGTTCAATGAGCTCACAGATTTCTGCGAGATGTCAGCAATGCGCTGTTCTTTCATCATCCTGTCTTCTTCCACTGCGCAGCGATCAGCATGCTGTCAGATCCCTTCACACCTGCTCACTTCTCTTCCTCTGCAGTATTCCCTTGCGAAGAACTCCTGTGCTGACTTAAGATCTAGTTACAAGCATCTCAGGCAAACCTGGGGTTCCTTTAGCTCCCATACGCCGCCATGGCTGCACGACCGGGATGTCTTCGTGGTTGTGCTGCAAAGTGCGTGAAGAAGGCAAGAAAGAGAAAGAGAAAGCGGGAGAGGAAGAGGGAGAGGGAGAGGGAGAGGGAGAGGGAGAGGGAGAGGGAGAGGGAAAGAAAAGGTGGGGGGGGGGGGGGGGGGTGTGTGGCGGGAGACAGAGACAGAGACCCAAGGGATGGAGGATAAAGACAAGCATCCACAACAACCAAGGACAAGGAATCGGCTCCTCACCGGCTCACGAGTTGCGATGTTGAGCGTGAAGTTCTTGAGGACGTGGGTCTCGCTGCTCCGGCTGTTGTCCACCTCGTCTGCAACGTCTCCTTCCTGCACGCTGAGGAAACTCCCCTGCTCCCTGACCGATCCGTGCATGCTTGGGCTGGCCTTCTCCTCCTCCGCCTTTCGCGCTTGTTGATCGCCCGACTGCGCTCGCTCAGCAGCATCCTGTATCGATTGCCATGAGAGCCCTGTATCCTGCTCCATGACTATCCTCTCTTTCCTGCCCTTGGTGGGTCGGAGATCAGGGCTGGTGTTGCGTCTGACCAGCTCTTGTTTCTTCTTTCTCTTGGGCTTGTCCTGCTTGACTGACCTGATAGCGCCTTCTCCTTCGAAGTGGTGCCTCAAGGCTCTCACATCTACGACCGTCTCGTCTTCTCCCCAGGGAGAGAACATGGCGAAGCTCAGCGGCGGAGGAGCTTAAGACTCAGATGAGGCTGGAGGTCGGCAAAGTGAACACAGGGTCGCCGGGGGGACTCGGGGAAGTGAGGGACTCGGGTGGCCCGGAGGGAGGGAGGGAGGGAGGGAGGGAGGGAGGGAGGGAGGGAGGCACTGCAGCAAAGCGGGGGCTCGGAGCAGGGGATCCTTGAAAGGTTCCAGCAGCCGCCGGGCTCGGGAGGTTCCTAGCCTGGCAAGTGCAGTGAGGAAGGCCTGAGTGAGAATCGGAAGACGGGAAGGTGGGGGCCGCCCGGAGGGGGGGGGGGGGGGGGGGGGATGATCAGCGCTGCGCTGTGACTGCACTACGGCAGATGTCAGGAGGGAGGGGAGTATCTGAACCTGTCAAAGGTTGATGTTTTTTTTATGGCCGCCGGAGTCTCCCGGGCCCGGGCCGAATCTCCGAAGGAACTTTGACTGAGTTATTCTGGTTTTCATAGCTGAACCCATTCCTACGTAATCTTTACTCAAAGTTAAGTTAACTTTAGAATCAGTACGGAAAACATTTTGTGTCGCAGATGAACAAGTTTAGCTAAACAAACAGAAAATGTCGAACAAGTTTAGCTAAACAAACTTAACATGTTCAACAACTTCAGATCTTGAATCATCTTCTTGATCAGGCAACGTGACACAGGCTACTGCCGCGATGCAGGGCGGGAACGGGAGCGGCGGGCGGGAGACCTTGACGTTCGAATCTAAGTTGAAGGATCTCAGATGGCAGATGGGCGTCCCAACGCACTACACAGTCGACGAAGCTATACAACATACTTGCTCCATGCTGTCCATACCTCTCTCGGAACTGCAGTCAAAACAAGGCCTTCTTGCTCAAGTGAATTTTCTGTATGCAGCCCTGTATGGGCCCATGCCCTCATCTACCCTCGACAAGGTGAGCAAGACCATCCTACACAAGTTGTTACCGCTGACTCTGCTGCTCTATCTCCTTCACCTTCAGCTCTGCCTTCAGCTCGAGTCTCCGCAGTCTAGCTCCAGACTGCGCAAGGATGATACGAGTACAAGCTTGTCGAGCTCGAGCAATGTTTGCGGATCTTCGCGCCATCTTGACAGCAGGAAGATCAAGGATGAACACGAACAAGCGATCCAACCTGTGTTCGAACCTGTAATCGATCACACCGCTGACCTTGATGGGAAGATATGGAATATAGAAAGTGCTCGATTCTCGATTGACAACAAAATATTCACCACCGATATGTTTCTTGCTGTGTTTCCTGTCAATGACAATCCTATACCTGAAGGACAAGTCAGACGAGCATTGAGATAAAGAATGTCTTTGAGTTACGGGCATGTAAAGCAAGTACAGCTCATTACATATCCACGAGTCCCGTAAATGGTAGGGCATGGCGTGCATTGAACTTCTTTCTCAGAATCTCGCATGTTGATGTGTTGAATGTATTCCGTACATTCAGGACGAGTCATGAAGATTGCACGTCACATGCTGATGTCTCGGTCCAATATCTGGCTACACTGCCGTCATTTCGTTGTCTCGTGTCTTGTTGCTCACAGAACAATGGAGAATGTTGCCTGACAGCCATTCAACTCTCTCGCCTCCTCAAAATGCAGATAGGCGTGTCGGCCAATGAAGTTACAGTCCAGCGAGCTCTACAAGAAATTGAGTTGGAAAACAAGAAAAAGGACGAACGTTCTTTCAAGATATTAAACGAATGGATGTCTAAGTATTCCAAATTGAACCATGACAGTCGGGCTGTCTGCCAGCCTCCTTACCAAGGTGAGAAGCATGCGGGTAGTTTCCAGGGAGCCTTCCTGTGCAACGAGGGCATCCTTCGTTTGATTCAGCACTGTGGTTTGCGCTTCCTCGGCCAGGTCCCTCCATCTCCTCTGGTTGTTGTTTCCCATTGACAACGGCAACGTCAGGGCTTCTATCGTTTCAATCGCAGGTCTCTTTCCCTATCCCCTGCTGCGCAGTATGCTCGGGGGGGGAGATAGGTACTGACTTTGTAGTCAGCCCCTTCCAAGGAAAGTTCATGATCATAACTGGTCGGTTGGGGGATGGGACGGTCCTCCCAGTTGCAGCTGGTAGCGCACAACTGAAACTTTCGTCTGCGTCCTGTCTCATCGTGCGATTCAGGCGTGTTTGCCCAGTGGAAGGAGGCCAACGATTCTGTTGTTGCTGAAACAGCAGAAAACACCGAATGGGTATGGAACCAGCTCAAACGCACATCCCTGGGACCTTGGCTATGTCCATCCAGCGGATCGCTGACTATCATGACTGGTCGATCAACTGCCATTCTCAAAGGGGTACAGCAAGCACTACCTCACGCAGATGTGCTTGTCTGCTGTACCCGCCTCATTGCCGGCATCAATCATTTCTGTTCACGTATTCTCCTGATTGTATTTCGTCTGCCAGTCATACATGTACCACAGGTAACCGCGGGCAATGTTTGTATCCCAAAGGCTCTGGCGGGTCTGGTGCGTTGGAAATTTTCTGGCAAGCACAGGTTGGTTGTAGGGTTCCTGTATGAGCTCTGATGCTTTCGGATAGCAAGCTCATACCCACGTGGAGTTTGACATGAGAATGAACCAACTACAAAAGGCCAACCCACTGGCGTTTGACCATCTCAAATCCTCTGGCATCGCAGACGCGCAATGGGTAAGTGATGTAGTTATACCTGTGAGCAACAGCTCAAGACATGTGCTCTGCAGGCAACGTATGCTCAACTGCTTCCTAAGACCAGTACAGATGTCTCAACACAAGGAGCTCAACTGCTTCCTAAGACCAGTACAGATGTCTCAACACAAGGATGCGTCCGCACTTACGGAATCAAATCGAACATACAGGCTGAGACTGGAGATAAAAAACTGAGCTCTTCCCTGGCTACAAAACGTAATCCTCTCGAATTCTTCGAATCATTGGGAGACTTTTGGATGGAATGTTTGGGAAAGGCACTTTCTAGGAAAATATTGTTACAAGAGCAAGACAAATTTATCGTTAGCGATCAAGTGCGCAAGGAGTTCTTTCAGGATTGGGAAGCTTGCAAGCTGGTAAGTATCACCAACGCTGTTGGCAACGACTTGTTCACTGTTGAGGGTCGGTCACCAACGGGAGGAGTGGAAGTGAACAGTGTTTCCTTGAGTCAGAGATCTTGCTTTCCTTGCGGTCAATGGCAGACAACAGGTCGCCCTTGCAAACATGTGATCGCAGTCTGGCTTCACTTGAACCCCCAACAAGGAAGTCGGCAAGCGATTGAGAGTTTGTTCGATGCGTGCTGGCTTAACTCAATCTCTTGTTGATGCATTTCAAGGTTCTCTGTGCGTGCCTGGTTTGGTTCCTTCTGCCTGCCAGTTCGGGTTGAACCCTTCAGATCCCTTGACTCCTCCTCCATGTGCGGTCAAGACCTCTGCGGCGAGAAGAGCTTCTTGCTACAGCGATGAAGAGGAGCATGCAACCTCGGCGCCTCGTGTGCGTCGAAGGACTCGGACACACTCGCCACCTGGCCGCGAAGACACTGCGAGGAGCGATCATGACGGGGAGCAGGTGGAGCAGGCGACGTTGTATAACACCCACGGGAATCGCAAGAAAACTTGTCAGATATGCGGCAAGGTTGGGCACAACAAGAGGACGTGTACGACACTGACAAGAAGCGGGAGGGGAGGGGAAGAAAGAGAAGAAGGCGCAACAGGAGCAGCAGAACGCGCTGAAGGTTGCGAAGACAAGCACCAAGACTGAGGAAGGCAGTAATGATAAGCCTTGTTCGAGTTGTTGCCGAAACTTTCTGCCCCTCACTGTCTGTACGACAAGGGCCAGGAGTGAAAGATAAGTCGATGGTTGAAGGTTTTCAATTTGTTCATCAGCTCTTCCAGCCGAGCCCCCCGTTCTGTAGTGACGGTCTGGACTCGCCTTGCCCGACGAAAACTCAATCCCTTCGCCTTCCCTTCGCTCCTCTCCTCCTCTCGGACATCGATGCTCTCGAACTATACGGATTCATCGATTTCTATCATTTCACGTTAAATTAATCATGGCGTGACAGCGAAAAAAGCCACTTGACATTGAAAGAATAACTCACAGCAACTAAAAACACAAGGAAAAACAACCTCTCATCTTACATCAGACCCTCGTCGCCAGTCCTGCATGAAAACTGCTCTATGACGAGCAAGCGGCCAACAACGGGGCCACTTTTCGCAGCATTTTGCTCCCCAGATTTAACGTACGGCTCAAGATTTCTCCCAGAGGAAGCAGAGCTCCCATCTTCCACTGCCGAACTCCTGCATCATGTGTCATACTCTGATCACACTCCTCCGCTCTTTCTGCCCTCCTCCACAACCACATGCTCCTCATCTTCCTCCTCACCCTCTTCCTCCTCCTGCCCTCTTCTTCCACAACCACATGCGCTTCATCTCCCTCTTCCTCCTCCTGCCCTTCTCCTCCACAAACAGCTCCTCAACTTCCTCCCCCCCCTCCCGTTCCTCCCTTCCTCATCGTCTTCACTCACCGATGACATCTCCGGCAGCTCCACCGTCAGCTCGCCATCCTTGTATTCAAAGTCCCACTCCTCCCACGCGCGATCCCCCCGTATCCCCGCGATCTCTGACACCGTCGCCAGCGGCTTCTTCCCTTCCGCACTGGCCTCGCAGGCCGCGCTGCTCGCCTGCAGGGGCTTCGCGCAGAGTTTCCTGGGCCTGGCGGAGGAGTAGAAGAGGAGAGAACCCTGGCCCTTGACCGTGAGATGAGCTCGCATCGTGTTCTCCTTCTCTGACAAGGATGGAAGAGGCGACTGCAGGACACAGTGAGAGGGGAACACTGGGAGAAGAGGAGGGAGAAGAGGGAGAAATGATAGGGAAGGAGAGATGGAGGAACAGGAAGAGAGTGGTGAACTTTTGGGGGTGAGAGGTAGAATTGAGGAGGAGCAAGGGAGGAGGAGGAAGGGAAGAGGAGGAGGAGGAGGAGGAGGAGGAGGAGGAGGAGGAGGAGGAGGAGGAGAGGGAGATTTTACCGCGGTGAGCTGGTTCAGGTGCCACAGCCATTCCTCGTCCGGGTCAGCGACGAACCTCTCGACCTCGTCGTCCACCTCGATGTTGGACTGGAACTTGGAGCTGAAGGGAGCTGAGGCGAGCTTCCACCGTCGGTTCACATTCCACATGCCCCCGCTCATCGCAGCAGGATCAATCACGCTGTTGAGAAAGTCCTGAACAAGGGTGTCAGGCTAAGTGGCGGGAGCAAAGGCAGGAAGGGAGGAGAGAGAAGGGAGGATAGCAGTAGTCGAGAGAGAGGGAGCAGAAGGAAACGCGGGAGGGGGAGGGGGGAGGCAGGAGGAACAGAGCATACGCAATCAACAACCATGAGAGGAGAAAGGAAGGAGAGAGAGGAAGGGGAGGAAGGACGGGGTGGTCAGGATTTTCACCTGCAAGATAGGGTGGTCTTCCCTACCACAAACCCTATGAGAAAGCAACGCGCCTCCTCCGTTGAACATCTTCTTGAGCCCCACTGGAGCCCAGAGAGCATCATCCCCCTTGTCGTCCTTCACCCCTTGCAGCTTCTGGATCGGAGCGACGGTAAGGACGTCCGACTCCTGAGGCTTCAACTTGATATCCATCTGCCAGCCTGTCAGCCTTCTCCACCCCGACTTCTACTCCTCCTTTTAACTCTTTCCTCTGCCTTCTCCTCCTCCTCCTCTTCTCCCTCCTCCTTCCTCTGCCTCTTCTTCCTCCTGCCTCTGCCTTGTCCTCTTCCTCCATGTTACCTTGGATTTGTAGTCCATCAGGAAGAGCTTCTCTCGCTTGTGGCTCCACACAGCGTACCTTCCCACCTCCGACGGGAGCCTCTCGACATCCTGTGGGCTGACATGCGCAACCACGTCGGGAGGCCGATGATCCGGCATGACGAAGTTCCGGACTGTCCTGTCCCAGTACGCCCCCTGCAGGTTGAAGATGCCCAGCACTCCCCCGACCTGGTTGTGGTTCCAGACTTTCAGCGCTGACACCCCGTCCTTGCACACGTCGGTGAAGAGGCAGTCGCGTGTTGGGCGCCCAGGTAGCTGAGCACGCAGGACGCTGCCGTCAGGCAGGACCAGCTGCCGGAGGAGGTCGAAGTTGTGGACGGTCGGGCGATCGGAAGTGTACACGGCGCATCCTCCGACCGATCGCGCGGCCGCGTGCAGCTCAGCAGCGGGATGTTCACTCTGGAACATGTCCCAGTCCGGGTGTACGATCTCTCCAAGGAAGAGAGTGTTGTAGACCACGTTGTAGACGTGGACAGTGTGTGAGGCTGGTTCACGGGGATAGAAGTCGTCCGAGGCGCGGGCGATCGCCGTGTCCTTGAAGGAGTAGAGGTTCTCCGTCGGGTGACACATGCAGTTGATGCAGTTTCCGGACAGATGCTCCTTCACGCTCTGCTCCATCGCATGCACGTAGGCTCGAGTGATCTTCGGGCCTCCCCCGTACCCGGCTCCCAGCATGGTGATGGCGGCCTGAGCGTCGCACTTGACCCCGTCCACTCCGGCGTCATGCAAGCTCTTATGCAGCTCCCCGTAGAAGTCGCGGATGTGCATGGGCGGTACGATGCCGACACCTACGAAGGACGAAGGATTCCAGGCCATGGTCGGCTCGGTACTGAGCATGCCAGGGGTGTAGTCAAAGTGCGGGTCAATGCAGGGGTACTGGATGGTGGGCTGAAACCTCTCCATGCCGGGGGCGTTAGGGTCGACGCCTAGCCAGTAGCCAGTGAGGGCATGCCAGCAAAAGGTGTACTGAAGTCCGAAGTCGCTCTTGAGCTCGCGGACCAGATGCCCCAGCTGCACGAACTTGGAGTTGGGGTTGATGCTCGTCAGCCTCTTGGACCAGTCGGTCGCCTCCGCAAAATACTTGAGCAGATCGTTGCGGATGACGTTGAACGTCAGCCACTTCCAGATCTTGACCGGCATCGAGTTGTAAGGTGACTTCTCGACGACCGACGTGTACCACCAGGTGAGCAGTCGGGCAGGAATGTCCTTGAAGGATGTAAGCTGTTGGGAGGCCCAGTCCTCTCCCTGTCAACAACGTCAGTCCCCTCCTTCACAGCTTGTCAAACTACCTCAATCACTCCTCCGCCGGCCAACTCGGCTGCAGAAACATCCTCCCTAGCGTCGCCTTCGGCGATCCTGTACCCCTCATCGTTGTCTGTGCTCTGCCAGCCGTCATCGAGGATCAAGAGCCTTGACGGCGTCCCTCCCTTGGCAAGCTCCCGCAGCCCGTGCTTCACGCCTTCGGGCTCTACTTGGCTGTAGAACGCATCCCACGTGCACCATCCAAACACGTCCAGTGTAGATGGAGTAGTCTTCTCCTTGCGAATTCGAAACGTTCCCAGCCGATCCGCTGCAGCAGCGAAGGCTCGTTCGAGCAGGAGGAACGGGTCTGTTCCAGCTGCGACAAGGACGGAGGTCGGGCAGATCTTGGTTCGCACGTCTGGGTCCCCACTCTCTATCCTCACTTGCAGCGTGCTCCCCTCCGTCCCCCAGATGGACGAACGGAACGAGTTGCCAACCATCGGCAGCATCACCGCGTACATCCCAAGGCCCAGCTCGAGGAGCAGGAACTGTGTCTCAGCAGGGACCGGCATGCTCCTGTCTCCCACGTCGGGAGACATCCACCACAGCTTCTGCCTCGCGCAAGACAACCACCTGGAGTTCAGCAGGTCAGCGCAAAAGGTACCTAACCTTTCACCTTCCTCCACTCACCTGGTAGCGCTTGCTGGAATACTTCCTAGTGTTGCCACGTGCTGACTCTCCTCCGCCTCTCCTTGTATGCCCATGAAGATGTGATTCTCGTCCTTATCATCGATGAAGGCCTGCACACCCATGTTCTCCAGGATAGGAACCTCTACGATCCCTCCCAGTGCCGACGCATACATCGTGCCATCGCGCACGTGTATGGCGGCGGCTCCCTTCTCAACCTCCCGCCTCTTTGTCTTCCGAGATATGTGATACCTCACACGCTCGATCCCTGCGCGCAGCTGCTCCTCGGCTTCATGCATGCCGTACTTCCACTTCTCGTCCAAGTCCATAAGCCTTGCGTCTACCTCCTCTGACGTCAGAGGCTTCATAGTATCGCTCACAAACATCAGGTTGTCTTCGATGTCCTTGATCGCCTTCTTTCCCAGCGCCTTCTCAAAACCGTCTTTGATCTCTTCCTCTGTCAGCGGGACCGCCACACTGGTCAACCGCCGCACACCCTTGTCGTACCTCCTCCTCAACCTCTCGATAGCAAAGAGCAGGTTCTTCGTGGAAGGGTCTGTTTTCTTCCTCAACGCCCTCCAAGTTCCCCGTCTCTCCATCGGGCTTGCAGGTTTCGTCCATTGCAATGCGCTGCCCAGGCTCAGGACCTCGTAAAGGGCGTCAAGGCTACTGCGCAGCTCCGCAATGTTGTGCTCCTCCATTCCCTGCATCTGCTTCACCCACCCTCGAACTTCGTCTTCAACCTGCCTCAAGAACGTTTCAACCTGCTCCCTTGTCTCTGCTTGACTCTTTAGCTGATCCTCCTCCTTCTCTTCAGGTTTGATCCCCAGCGCTGAACGAGCGGCGTTGAGCAGGCGGCAGCCATTGCTAAGCACCGCCTGCCGTGCCTCTTCGAAGGCATTAGCACTCGCTCCATTCATGACGCATCGTATCCTCTTTATTCCCTCCACTCGATGACGCTCAAGGACCCTCTCGGAAAGCACCGAGGGCAGGGGCCTCAGACGCTGCCTATCCACAAACGAGGATCGTTGTATCCCATGCTTCGGAACCTTGAGGAGCATGGTATTGAAGGCAGGCAGTGTCGACATTCGATGTTCATAGCCATAGGTAACAACTAGTCCAATGGGAAGGATACTCAACAACAAGCGGGCAAACCCAACCATGTCTGGTGTCGCCAAACTACAGAAATCGGGGCCCTGCTGAAACCTCTACGATGGTACTTTCAGTTGAATGCTCGAGCTCCTCCTCCAACAATGGCCTGTCAGTCTTTTCAAGGCCTGACCTTACTTCTATCTGCTCGGTGTCCTCCTCTCCCTCTGTCCTCCTACCGCATCCCCTCCGCTTGTCTTCGCCTTCGTTCCATAGCTCTCTCCAGCATTGCAACTACCCCACCCTACCCCCGCCCCCTTCCACGGCCACCCACTGTCAAGGCTACCCACCCTATTAAAAATCACCCCATCTCAAATCTGATACACCCCTCCCATTGACTTGATCATACCTACTAAAAGAGAGGGTGAATATTACACCCTACCATCTTCCTAGAAAATCCTCTCATGACACCGGTAAAGGATTACCCCTCCCTGCAAAGACACCTTCTGAATAGTACCCCTACGTCTTTTCTGACCCATCGAATTTATGTAACCACCCCCACCCTACCCACCCCTATTCGTTACCCTATCGTACCCTACTATTTTGATCTACAGGGCTATCCTGGACATACCCTACCCACCCATGGAATAGCTCTTATCTGCTACCCTACCATCATGCTGACCGCACCCCACCATTCCTATTGTTTTTCAATGTCATCACCCCACCTTCTTACTGACCCCACCCTCCTTTTTTCAGCCTACCCTACGGTACAGAAGTTCTACACCGTAAAAAGTGGGGATCACCACCCACCCTGGGTATTCCACGAATACTACCCCACCTCTGACAATTAACAACTATTTTTATATCTCAAAACGATCTCCCAATGCCACACACAAGGGACCAAAAAAAAATTTACTACCCCACGTACTACAACAATCCATTTTGAGTACCCTACCCATGAATTTGTGTTGAGTACCCCCTCTCACTTTTGTGTGCTTTGGAGGATCATGTAAGGGGTACCTCGGCTGCACTTGTCAGTAACCACCCCACTCGGGATCTTCAGTGCGACCTAACCCACCCCTTGAATCCCTTTTCGTCACCCCCGTTCTCAAATTTTAAAAATTGCATCGCTTCCTGTAAAAGATTTTAGACTCCCGGATCGGCCCCCCACCACCCCCATCTGTGTGCTCTCAGTCGTTGCACTTTGAGAGTACCCCATATTTTCTCCATTATTTAACCGGTACTTAGCACCAACTATCCTGAAACACCCCATCATCCCATCAGCCCCCATTGGAATTAATTTCTAATATTTTAAAAGTGTATGGGAGTTTTACTTTATAAAATCTATGGGGTATTTATAGAAAATTACGTAGGAAATTGATAGCGAAACGTACGGGAAAGAGGTCTCTTCGTTAAATGTATTTTACTTCTCCCGGCAAGCATGCACCACTAGCAAGGCCTGAAACTCCAGTGCTCCATTGAGTAAGGGAGGGTATCATAGCTCGTATTTTTATTAATTGGTCTTCTAAGTTCAGACTCTCAAGTGGTCAGGTGCAAGTGAATTCTTGCAACGGGGGCCTTTCCATGGGAATCCATTGCGGGTTTACTGGGCTCCCGTAAAACGTTTTACCGCGTTGACTTGAAACGGAGGCTTGCCTTGCCGGCAAACTTGAAACTTGGAACTTCAGTGCCGCAGCAAGTGACTTGAACCCGCCGACGCCGATCGGACGGTGACCTGGCAGTGGTCAGGGCCCGGCCCGGGCGGCGCGGCGGCGGGGTGACTCTCCGACCCGACGAGTCGACGGTCGGCAAGGCGCGGGGGGGCGGCGCCGGCGGCCGGGTAGTGACCGGCGGGCCGGGGGGCGGGCCGCGCCGGGGTGAGGCTCGGTCACCGGCCGGCTCAGCAGCTGACTCCCGGCTCCTGATCGGACGCGGCCCCGGGTCCGGCCCGGGGGCGGACGCGGCCCGGGCGGCGCCGCCTCATCGGTACGGTACGGCGGAAGATGAGGCCCGGGGCGTCACCCGGGCTGTCGTCACACTGTACTGAGGCAAAGTTTCACTCACTGAGTCATAGTAGTATATAAAACTTATTGAGTAAACTATCTAATCAAAGCGTTCATTGCTATTTCAAGACTGGTATGGGTAGGGGTAGGTACCCACCCTTATTTTAGGGATACTTGTGTTTAATTTAATATGATGATACCGGGGGTACAAATTAGCAGACCCCCCCACAAGCAGTGGAAAACCTTGTTTTTTCGATGACCTGGTTTGTGGCTCTTCACAATGGCATTGTACGGGTCGGCGATGGAGAGAGGGAGCGGGTGAGTGGTGAAGACCGGCGCTATGGCATATGATCATCATAATGAAGACCATATCGTGCTGCGATGTGTGATGTTTATGATTTGATTTGATTCCTTGGTGTATGCTTTCATGACTTCTGTTTGACGTTGATTGCTCGCGTTTTGCTGGTGTGCTGGGAAGTTTCTTACTAGGAACGCCAGGTTGCTGCCGAGCTGGCACTCTCCCCGTCGCCATGGAGCTCTTGCTGCTCTAGCCATTCCAGCACTCCTTGCTGCCTTCGCCTTGGTCGCAATGGTAGTGGTTAGCTGGGGTCGCCGAGCAAGAGCGTCATGCTGAATCCCTACACGATGTCAGCGAGTGAAGCAGGCCTGCTAGGAGATATCGGAGCTAAGGACCACGAGAACGTTGTTGGCGCTCTTGCCTCCCTCTCTGCTGCTCCTTCACATGCCCGTCAGAGACGAGGCGCCGCGAGCTCATCGCCTGCCAAGGCGTCGCACCAGCATCAGGGGGACGGAAAGGCTCGAGACGAGGTGCTGGAGAGAGCGGCGAAGCTGAAGGAGAGCGCAGAGACTCTGCTCAGTGATGAGAAGCAGCTGCGCAACAAGGAGAAGTCCATGGCGAGAGCGGCTCAAGCTGACCTGCTCAAGTACCAGCATCTCATATCCAGCGCCCGTCGCTCCCACGTGGCAAGGAGGCATCGCGCCACACCGAAGAAGGAGTCCATGGCCAAGGACATTGCAAGGATGGTGATTCAGGATCTTGAGCCGAAGATCGAGAAGGAGGACGCCAAGATCTCGAACCTGCAGATGAAGATGCAAAGTCTGGGACAACATGTCGACACCACTGCGAAAGCCGCTGTGAAAGACTCGCTGTCCTCCTGAACTGCCTCTGACTTTGCTCAAGGATGCTCCGGACGCCAAGAACAAGTTCCCTCCCGCATTCCCCGATCACTGGCACCATAGTGCGGTGGCCAAGAGAACGACTCTGAAGGTGACGCTCCGTCTAGCCCTCGAGGGACCTTCTGATCCCCTGACGCCGACTGGCTTACAGCAGCCGGCAACCTCGTTCGATAGGGAGCTCAAGGACTTTCTCCGTCCTTCCAAGGTTCCTGCTGTTCTCTCTCGATGTGGCTAGAGGTGCTGAGGGCCCTGGGAGCAGGCAGCTGCCCTGGAGCCCCGGGTTCACGGGCACAGGAAGTCCATGGCAGACTACCTGGTAGTCTCGTGTGCGAGTTGATCTCTGCTCTGACCTGGGTTGCAGCTGGTGAATGCTACCAAGGAAGAGATCGGGCAGGGAGCTCCGGGGGACGGAGAGGAGACCACGTGGTTCCATCCCGAGCACAAGGGCAGGTATGCGGCCTGGCTGGTTGGTCCTTGAAGGGAGGAGGATGATGATGGTGCTACAGCCCATGTTCAGTCTCTGGGAACTGCAACCACAACCTTCCATTCAAGTTGCAGGATCATGAGTACTGGCGGGAGAAGTATCTGGTTGGGAAATCTTGCTTCCTCCATGGGTGCCAGTGACGCTGAAACAGGCCAAGTACCGGGACCAGCCAGAAGGCGAGGAGGGGAAGGGCGAGAAAGTAGGCGAGGAAGCGGTATGGCTGCTTGCAACAGGACCATGTCGGTCGTGACGGAGTTGATCAGGAGAAGAGAGCGCTCGGCAACGAAGTCGTCATGCGCTCACTCGACGACTTCGTCACTCCCAACGACGCGTATGTGCACAACCTTCTAACCTCAGGTGGGCTGTGAAGCAGAGATGCTCGTCTTGACGTGATCGTGTGCCCTGTGCATCGGGATGATTCACATTCTACTCGTCAGCATTTTCTGCTGTCGATGTGTTGACATGATCTCGATGCTCTGGCGCGCGTGTCTTGTAGCTCTGTCTCTGACAGGAGCCGTGCAGGAGCCTACGGTGTCGATCACTTCGGTCATATGCCGCCCAAATCCGAGAAGAACGAGGTTGATCGTTGTAGATGGGATGCGATGAAGATGGTTGAGACCTGCACAGGACTTGATGTACGGCAGAGGATTCAAAAAGTACGTGCGAGATGTCTGGGGCAAGGTGAGTTGATGCCTGTTGAGGAGGCAGAGACGAGATAAGTAGAGTGGATGTCTATGACAGGGAGGGAGAGGAAGAGAAGGAGACTGAGACTGATGTTTGTCTTGAAGGAGCTGCAAGAACCTGGAAAGGGTGGCATGAAGGCCATGTACAGGGACGGTGACTACAACAAGGTTGGAGACGAAGTCATTGGGGGCGAAGACAAAGAGGTGAAAGCAGGAGAAGACAGAGCATGCTGATGTTGTTGTTGATATCTCTGCTCCTGATTATGGTGGTGATGTTCATGTCATTAGTATTGTTGTTGTTTTCGATAACGTCTTCTCGTTGCTGTTGTCGTTGATGACGTTGTTGCTGATGATGATGCGAAGGTTCCTATCGGGCTGACTATGCCGGAATTCCCGGGCACTGACCATGATCACTTTGATCACTGGAAGTGGGACTCGTCGATGAACCAGGAACTCTTGAATGGTGACTTCATCCTACTGCCTCCTTTTGCCAGCTCGCACGCTCACCCCTTCCCCTCGTTCCTGCCTCTCCTCTCCTACTCTTGTTTCCTTCCTCGCTCCTCTCGCTCCCCTCCTTGCTTCCTACCCTCAAGTCTTGTCCTTGCTCTCTTTCTTACTCGATTCCTTGCTCTGACCAGCTCTGACCTCGCTTCCCCCCTCGTCAGGTGCTTACTGGAGACACCTGAGGAAAGACGGCTTCATGGACCGGGTGATGCCTGCTGATGAGGTCAGCCAGTGTGTTGCTCCTTCAGTGTATCTGCCCCTGCCCCCTCCTCCTTCCCTACCTGCCTGTCACTCCTCCTCCTCCCCCTCCTTCCCTACCTGCCTTTCACTCCTCCACCACCTCCTCCTCCTACTTCCCTACCTGCCTGTCACTCCTCCTCCTCCTCCTCCTCCTTTCCTCCCTCTACCTTCTCCCTCCCCCTGCTCCTCCTTCCGCCCCACGTTGCCCTCCTTCTGTTTCTCCTCGTGTTTGACTCAGTCCCACCAGGCTCACCTCAGCAAGATTGGAGCATCTCACGACCGCAAGCCACTCACTGACTTTGTGCTGGGATCTTGGAACCAAGTGAGTTCTCCTCCTCCTCCTCCTCCTCCTCCGCCGCTCAGTTTTGATGTTCAAGTGAAAATGGCTGAAGCGGTTAGAGGAGTGTAGAGAAACGATGGGAAGAGAGGCGGGGAACGGAGCAAGTAGGAAAGAGGGAAGAAGAAAACATGCATCTAGTGAAGAAACAAGAAGCAGACAGTGATCAGGGGGTTGAGTCTCATGATTGCATATGCTGATCCTGCTGTATGAAGCAGGACTGGTAATCGAAAGTTGATGATGTAGACGTTTCTCCGCACCCTGACCAAGTTTGCTGAGCATGGTCATGTTGATCAAAATGGTCAGATCGAATAGATTGTCCACGACTGTTTTGCTTTGCTGTTTATTTGGGTGAAGGGACAGCAACGCTCTCCATATGTATTCCTCCGAATTCGAA